TTGTGCGATAGGGCAGCGGAAGTCACTGCTTAATCACGTGAGCGCGTGCGCAGGCGTGGTCAGAGCAGCGAGAAAGCTATAAAAAGCGCGCGTAGGCGCGGCTGGCTCCGGCTACAGCTGGTGCTCTGCACCGTGCCTAGTGGCTAGCGCCCTCTGTCGCGTCACAATATGGAGGAGCACACGTTTTCGTCCATATACTGTTTCAGTGATGTTCAAGCTGCGTGTCAACTGGAGGTCTTGCACGGTAGATTGCTGTTAAATATCATTAGAAATGGCACTTTCAATCATGCAATATCCGCTAGTTGAGATGTCACGTTTAACATGATTTTCATTCCTGTTTCTCATGTCCTGACGTGATTCATGAACCCGTGATCCTAACCATGCTAACTACTGAGATTAATAATTTATCTTTATTCCACTCAGACTCTGCTGTTACGGCTAGTGTAATTAGGCGAAGCTGGAGGCTCAGGGTCAAGGGCTTTGTGTCACTGGAATAGCCCGGTATGCTCCAGGAAATCTTTTGAACGTTCACTGTTGTGTAGGTCTACCCTGGGCCTCGCCTTCTTTTCCTACCGCCATGTTTGGGCATAGTCAGCGACTGTGACTGCTTCTCGTTGTCTCCTCTCTACAAGTTGGTGTGATGTTCCCCCTTAATTCTTTGCCAATTTTGCAATACAGATAGATAGATACAGCAGATCTGTTCGGCCCAATCTTGACTCCTGAATTGATTATCCTATGAATGGATTTCATTGAAAGGAAAATCAACTCGGGAGGGAATAAAATGAATTTGCACAAGCTTCAAAATGTCGCTCTACACTAGGGCCTATTAATAACTATAACTGATCATATGCATTTGTTAAAAAGGTGATCCGTAGGTTCCTAGTCACTCAAACTAACGTGTGACGGTATAGTCACCAGGTATTTTATTTTGCCACTTACTGTGAAAACCATTGAGACTTGACAATAGGTGGCAAAATTAGGGACCTGGCAACTATACAGTCACACGCTTTATGTTACTCAAGAGTCAAGCCAGGGGGAATTAAAGCACTGGCAGCGGAATGGGGGGAGGGGACCAGTGGTTCCTCTACTTTTTTGACTGGGGACCTCTCCCGCCCCCCCACTTTTTGCATGTCCTGTAATTGGATGGGGTTCAGTGGATCGACCTATTAATGGCGGATGCCTGATGGTCTAACAACTGGCCCACCACTTTGAAAATCAGTCCGCTGCCAGTGATTATAGGCTTACGGCAACCAGCATCAGGACCAGATGCTTAGAGCTGCAGAGGGGCAAGGGGTAATCTGTTTTTCTAACTTCATTTCATGAACAAACGCGCTCAAACTTTCACATTTAATGCTGTTACATCTGTGTTAGACCTGACAGGCCCCACTGAGCTAGGCCAAGCTAGTTTCCCTCTGTGAGACCAATTGATATTTCGATCAGCTCAATCATGAAATCACGTTGTGCTATCAGTTGATTCTGTATGAAATCTCTGACTCTGTTTCCCTTGTTTTTGCAACAAGCTTTCACAACCGTAAATTAGAAAGATTAGACAATTGGCTGATGGCAGAATTATCAGCAAATCGTGCAATAATATCGACGGATTGTGCCGATCAGTCGATTGATGTTTTAACAACATCAACAACAAAGTGACCAGGAGGAATATTAATTATTGCAGGAGTTACAATATGACAACTCTGCTGGCTGAGGAGGGGCGCCCTCTTTCCCGCGCTCGTACCTCAACAGGCACCCAGTTGACTCATCATTTGATGGATGGCTCGGGTAAGAATGCTTTCTGACTGAAAGTAGAACGTAGGGCAACTGCACCGAATCACAGATCCTCTGCAGTCTGCACAAAGGCGATGCACTCCCACAATCACATTAAGGATATCGGGACGACGTTCTATTGATAGGATCTTCCTATCTGCTAAATAGTTCGACAGGATGGCCTAGTATTCTGTCATTGTGGTCTAGGCTTGGAGCATGACCAGTGGTGTAACTGCATGTGACTTTTGTAGGGTGCACGGCAGATACGATCTGTTGAGTAGATTACATACAATGAAGCTCTGGCCCTTCATCAGATAGTTGGAGTACAAAATGGACAGTTTTAAGCAACAACTAAACATGTAGTTAACCAAAGTTGCCAAAACGATGGATGGTTTGGATCATCAAGGTGACCATTAGGAACCAGACCCTTGGACATGATCACGCTCACGCTGTTTATCGGTAGCTGATTCCATTTATAAGTACAGAGAGAATCGTTCCTATGAAAATAATCGTACGACATGTTATTGACTGTGAATGCTGTGAGAGTTGCAGGCAATGGCAGAATGTGAGTAATGGTGAGAGTTTTGACATGTAGTTTGACTGGCTTCACTCGGGTGTGGGTAAACTGCACGTGCCCATCATTTTAAGAGCAGTGAACCAGCAGTTGAACTTTAGTTCGCTTTAGTTTGCTTGGTCTTTTGGCACTGTCTTTGCCTTCCAACTCTGTGACCCAGGTCAAATCTCACCCAGGGCGACTTGTAGATTGCATTTTCAGTCCTTACCTAATTCTGTGGGGTTTTTCTATGATGTTCATTTTGGTTAACTTCCACCTAAACATTGAATTTCTTCCTTGTGTTCTCTCCCAGGGAGAACAGTTTGTAACTGATAGGGTCTTATCCTGGTTAAATTAATTAGAAATAAATGAACTTGGTCGCTGGAATAAAAATGAGAAATCTCGAGCCAAATTTTGTGATAATGTTAACGTCATAATTTCTGTGGGGATTTACACCTTGGAGGTACGGACCTCGGAGGCTTCATCCGAACCCACTCTGTTGGTAAATTCTGTTTGCTTAGCAGAATATGCCAAGAGAATTTCCTAAACATAGGCCTTAAGCCAAGGGACCAGGCGGGGCTTGTACAGTAGCTGTATACACGTATTCATATGACAAAGGTTAGGCCTGAAGCCAGGGACCCAGACTGCCTGCCCCTTTAACAAATCTCTCCACATGTATAGATGCCGACGGGGCAGTATGTGTACCCCCAACGCCAACACGCCTGCACCTCATTATTCAACTGAGGGATTGGTCATAACGTGTCATATCCTCCCTCAAGATGCTGCTGATAGGCCGGCCGGCTATGTAGTCCCTGATCAGTCATGCACAGTGCAAACAGGCGCTTGCATGCGGTTGCACTGTCAACTCCCCCCCCCCTTTAGCTAAACCCGCAATTGGATGACGACTTAAAGTTGGAAGCTTTAAAAGTTTACTGGGTCGATCGGAGCGGATCACTGTGACATTGTTTTCACCTGAACATCCCTACTCTCAAAAGGATTACGTCGACCAAATCATTCTGCTCATTCTGGAGGCTTGATGCATCGCAGTAGCCTTAATTCATCCACATCTGTGTGTGTCTTGGTTGTTTTGTAGAGTTTTCAGGGCAAGCTGCTCGTTGGCTAAACCCTGCACCGGTACCCCACCATGCAGACCGCCCATTTGGAGACACGATCAAATCTGGAATCCACCAAGGTGTACTATCCCGGTGCGGCATAGTGGGCGTATATCCTGCCCTTGGGAAACTAGAGCCATGCAGGTGCAATTGGTGAGTACTTGTGGCAGATGATCAACCCTGTAGGAATCTGTTCAGGGAGACCATGTGGTCAATATACTTGCTGACTATGAACCTGACCACAGACTGTGAAAAAAAAAGTGTGATCATGCCTGCAGGTTCCTCTATTTAACACTTGGAATTCTTGACAAAACGTACATGCATTTTTAATGATACCTTCCAACCTTTCTTTTTCCACATTAATACATGCATATTTTTAATTAATGTGAAACCACTTGCAGTCCAGTTATTGTTGGCTTACATGTAATGAACAGTCTGAGAAGAGTGAAGTCTTTTCGTATCATTTTTTGGCAGTTCTGGAGATATCAAATTTACATCAGTAAATTGCCTCTGGCATTATCAATTTTCTGTACCACCCTCAAGTTATGAAGTGTTCCCCATTTCAGCAAATCACGTTGACAAAAATGGAATTTGTTTCAGTCTCCTGTTTGTAATTTTGATCCAAACTTCTGAGTTTATGTCATTTCACAAAGTGAAAAGAAACTTTGCATTTTCACAACTTTTCACAGTATTAGCTAATGCAAATAAGTACAGAAAATGAATTCAATGGGAGATTTGGCTTTCACTACCACGTTTCTTCAGACCTGCAGTTGGGTTTGTCATTCCTTGCAAGATCTTGTGATCAAATTGAGCTGATATTTTTCATCAGCAGTGTGAAAAAAGGTTGTAACGGTTTGGCTTAACATCAGCCATGTGGGAGTGTTTTGAAATTAGCATGGTTCAGTTTTTGTCGTGCATGATTTGCATCACAAAGGCAACATGCATGCAATGCACACAGCGTGTTTCATAGATACTTCACAATATCACGTCCTGCTGGAAAGTTCGTAGTAATCAAAGTGGCAAACTGTGATGATTCAATTTGTTGCTTTGGCGGGGTAAGTCAAAGTAAAATATCAAATAGGTGTCCATTTGCACGCCTTTGTGCCTGTTAAATCAACTTATTGCCAATGCGTTGTTTTAGTTAAATCTTCTGTCTGCTTTGTGAGCATAGGGCTGCCACTGTGCATTTCCAGCATAAGTTTTGATTGGTCCCCAGCAGGTGAAAAAGACGATGATTCATGGTTTGTGATTTTTTGGGGGGGGGTCCCTCACAAAGGCAATCGGCAGTCTAGGAATTGCGATAGTGTTTGGGATGAACTTTATTCCCTGCCCCCACTCCCATCTCCATCATTGGGTAAGTTCGATGAGTGAGAAATTGTCAACCAAAGTCGATTTTGACTGGTAACCTATGCATGAAATACATCTGGCACAAGGCAAAATCGACCATTGGGTAACAAATTGTCGGTGATCGAACTTACCCATTAGTGACATTAGTGACATCACTTTGACAGAAAAAAATAAATCCAGATATCAAGATAACTGGTCAAGCCAGTGACAAAATGACACAGTCAATTTCTCATGTAAAGACTTCCCCCCTCCCCCGCAAGTGGCCTGGACAAATTTTGCATCATGTACATTGGTGCCAGATAGATGAAATAATGTAGGATTGAAGTAATTGTACTCAAGGGAGCTAAGCGACTGTCTAGTTCATATAAGGATAGGGTGGAGAACATTAGGAGAGGGGACCAGATAGGTACTTTCAACTCACAAGGAAGTTTTCCATAACTATACAAAGGAGTCGACGGAAGCAGGATTTAATGTAACCAGCTGGCAGATCCCACAAAATGGGTCCGGAGGCCACTTCTTTTTTTTTTCAGTAATTTTATTCAGTTTGCGTTGTAAGGAGCCAACCAAACTCTTTGCTTTGATGCATCACCCAGTTTGTCAACTAGACAAAAAGGACATAATTGTGATTCCATTAATTGACATTGTGCAAGATTCTTCTCAAAGCCTCCAACTCTGATGCAACTCTGGCGACTTGCGACCCATTTCTTCAGATAAGGTGACATATATCGGTGCAGCATTGCCTTGACTAAAGTGTGTCCTTCAAAAAATCTGTGTCATAGCACTGGGACTCCCCGTCTCGCTTGACAGATAGAAAGCCTAACAGCGTCTAGGTCATTTCTTCTGTTCCCTACCCCCCTTAGTTCCCACCAGTTCCCCTCCCCCGTCCACTCTTCATCAAATGTTTCCCAGGATATCCGTTCAGTGTCATCCCTCGTCTACTATGGGAAATTTCCAATTGTGAATAGATCTGTAAGTTTTGACACTTTCTCCCGTCACAACCAGTAAGCAGTAACATTCTACACCTCAGATAATCCCATTGCAGTATTTGTTGTTGTTGTTGTTTATTGTTGTTAGCATTTTCGTTCTGTACTGTCAGTCAGAAGAAGCTTGTTGAGATATGATGGCATAGGACGTACTGTTCATGATCTTAGTTTGGTGACAGAGGAGAACCCTTGATAACTTTTCTGTTTGAGCTCGTAGAAGCAGATAGGGATACGATTGTTCCAGTTGGGGAGAATTTGAGCCCAAGCCACAGAGAAGGTGGTCGGGAGAAACGTAGCACACACCTCAAGTGGATGTTTTATCCTGGTGCCTAAACTGCAGTGTGCATGTGGTGACTTGATGTGTACAGAGTGTACCTAAAAACAAGACCTCTTGTAACTGGTACTTGGTGACAGTTCCTGGTAACATATGGCAAGGAACAGTTGAAGAAATGGGAAGTGCAAATCCCTTTGTAGGTTTTTCCCTAAAATCTGGGTCCAGGAGGCGGGCAGTGCCAAATGTCACTGAACAGAAGATTAACGAGGCTGCCAGTTTTCTTTTCAACTGGTATGCCTCACGTGCGGAGTTGCATGTTTCCAGAGTTGACGTTCAGGGTTCACAGGAAACCCTCGCGTGTGGCATTTTGGCTGAGCTGCAGCAAGGACAGATAACCTTTAAGGCCGGCCCTCTTATTGCTGGGCCTTAGTCATGGGGGGGGGTCGCTCTCTCTGGAGAGCATAGACTCATTGCCGGTTGCCTCGGCGTAATCCTGCCGTGGCTGGATGGCAGTCTAAAAATAGCTTCCCTGCAGGAGATTTGAAGCTCTCATTTTTCTCATGTTCTGTGCGCAGTGATTGATGGGGTGGATACTTGCTTAGTAACTGGTTGGAGGGTATGACCATGTTTCTCTGAGGTTTTTTTTTTTTTTTTTTTTTTACAAAATGCAGACAGTACTCAAGGGAAAAAAGGCGGACTTTGAACAGTATCCAACATGTTTTCCTGACCTGGGCTTTGTGCATGAATACACCAGGTACCTCCAAATACTTGCATGAGGCATCGGCAGTACTGCCTCTTTTAAGAGTTTGTTTTTCATGCATAGCAAACTGTTACGAACCGATAGCTGGGGGAGAAATTTCTGCTCAGAGGGGAGTAATTTAAGTCCATTTGTTAAAAAGACTTCCCTGGAGACTCTCATTAAGTGTATTTTGAAGCTGCTAATTTTCAGCCATCACAAGAAACCTATGAAGGTGGCGGATTCCAATAGAAAAGTGCCTTGAAGATCTGCCTGCAGTCTTTTTTTTTCTGCTGGGGTTTGTTTTTCTTGAAAAAAAAAAAAATCATTTATTGGCAAGACTACATTGTAAATTGTTGAAAAGATGGAGCGGTGGTTTTGGCCCCCTCCCTTTGAAGGGTTGATTTTTTTTTATATGAATGGCTTTTATTTCATTAATGAACAACTTAAATGTTATGCAGAAAAAAATTATGTTTATGCACTTATCTAACCAATGATAATTTTCCTTTTTTTTTAAGCTACATGGTCTGCCAACTTGATTGTACCTTGCCTGATGGTGAAGAGATACATGTTTGTGTTGGTCATATTGAAAAAAAACCAAAAACAAAACAGAAAACAATTACAGTAGGTGCCAGCGGCGGTTACAGCAAATGGTGTGCTGCCAGTTAAATATCCCATTGTTGTTACACAGACAAAGGAAATCATTATTGGCACTTGTCAGGATGTTGTCATCAACCTGTGGGGGGGGAGGGGTTAAGCCCATGTGCACAATAGAGGCAGTGCCAGGCAAACTTCTGTGTAGAGTTAGGAAGGTGTGAGCACATGTATGTCACAGGTACCGGATACGAGTTGATCAAATAGCAAAGTAACGTGAAATGACTCGAGCGGTGATCAGTAGCATACAGCCCCTGGGGGTGGGGTGCGTGGCCGCTTCGAAACGAGAGACATCGTCCCTCCAAAATCTAAAAGCTAGAGTTTTTAGTAGGAGATAGGGCATGGAAAACAGCTGCCTTTTATTCCCTCCAAAAAAAAGGAAAGAATTTCTTTAGAAGCATATTCCTGAAATTTCAGGAAGCATTCTGAATCAGAGAAGGGGTAAGGAAGGGGTCTAAGGAACATCTCTGCATCCATGAAATTCCATCCTTCTATTCTGTAAAAGCGGAAACAACCGTTGGCAATTGGTCAGATGCCGTTTTGATCGATGAGTAAACATTAATCATGCACCCATTGTATCATTGGTGACCAGAGCAGAACAGCGGCCACCACACCTTTCCTTTTTTTTTATTGCACCAAGGTTGACCACAGACCCGTGTCTCTTGACTCCCCCAGTTATGCCAGACGTGACGTGCCAAGGAATTTCTCCAGAGAGGCCGATTCATAAGCGCGAGTTGCGCGTTACCGTCTGTGTTCATTGTGCTGCGGTTTCACGGGTGCCGGCAAGCATCACCTTTAAGGGTTTATTGTCTGTGCAAATCACTCGACGTCAGTGAAAATCAGTTTGGAGGAGATAATGCAAACTTGGCCAGGAACTCAGTGGGTTTTGACGACTCTGAGAGGTGACTCTCTGGCAGGCGTACGGGCACAGGCAGACTGTCAGCGTTGACAGATAAATGGGGCTGATTCGGCTGTGAATCATACCCAGCCCCTGGGTAGAGTTAAAGACGACTGTATCAAAAAGCTTGACATTAACTGCAAATGGCATAGCACTTAGCAACTGTGCAGGGATGCCGTTAGTTTTGCACAGTCATGTTTAATAAGCTGTCAGGAATTGTAATTAGTGCTGGTTGTCTGAAAAAAGACATGGACTCACTGTTAGTGTTGATTGGTCGTTGCAGTAATACATCCCAGTGATCTCAGAGATGGTCTCTATATTCATATGTCAACTCTTTTTGGAACCTAACTAATCTGATGTGTACACACCAAGGACATGGTGTCCTCTGATGTCATCTCTTTGTTCTACACTCCTGGTGTATGCTGTCTAGTGTGCCAGTCTTTGTAACCAGATGATGAGGACCAATTATATATTACATGACAGCTATTTTATGGACCAAAATTATGGGAGTACACGTACATTTAAATTGTTCACCTTTTTATTTTTCCTCAAAGTGTATAGAACCCTCCAAATCCATTCCCCTGGTTACACTGATGACAGGTCTATCGACTGTGACATACATATAAATATAAAATGCAAATCTTTTTTATCGAAGGATGCATAAATATAATTTTTACCGTACACTCAGTTGACTTGGATCAAGTCCGACTTACGTTGCTCTTCCCAAGTCGGCCATCCCTTCACATACGCAGTACTTGGTCATCGCGCTTGGCCGCTTGCATAACTTCTTATAAGTGCTCTCAGTTGATAGGTTTTCTGCAAAATCTGCCATCAATGTACGTGTGTCACCAGTCAGTAAGTCCGACTTGACAGATAAACCAATCAGATTCCCCGTCCGTGATATGTAGTCACTCATACATGTAATTGCATATGAGCGACATAATCGTGCATAATGTACCAGTATACCAAATTTCCACCAGTGAAAGTAGCCAGACTTGGAATTTTCACCAATCAAACTAGTCAGGCTTGTAGACATGCTCATTATAAAAGTGGTATGAATGATGTAAAAACAAGTCAAGCAATGCGATCGGCTGATACTACTTTTGGTCGATGAGCCCATTCGCTGTGTACAAACGGCTGGCAGATTTGTCAAGTTGGGATTTCTGAACTCACAGTAATAAGTGGATACCAAGAGGGGGCGAAGCAAGTGACGAAGCACGTCCTGAATATCTAAAGCATAAATGCAGACAACGTCATGGAAGATCCTGACTTAAGTCTGTACACTCGCACTCAAGATGGATTCCTCTCCAAAGATCCCACATGGTTTGATGCGCATTCAGTCGGAAGCTGGTTGCACATTAATTCTCTTTACCATTGGTGTACTTAAACCATTGCACATGGACTTGTTACTCGGTTATGGGACTACACTTGTGTTCGCTCTCAAGATAGACTCCTCTCCAAAGATCCCACATGGTTTGATGCGCATTCAGTCGGAAGCTGGTTGCACGTTAATTATCTTTACCATTGGTGTACATAAACCATTGCACTTGGACTTGTTACTCAGTTATGGGACTACACTTGTGTTCAGATATAGATGTTCTTTGTCCCCACAACTCCATCCCGACTTTCCTAACAAAGGAACATGGTCCCCTTTCTGTGCGGAAGGCTTACCCACAACTTATCCTTCATTGGTTCTCATAGACCGCAGGTTTCCATGCACCTATCGTACCCTCTTGGATTCCTTACTACCCGAAGTAAATTTGGACCCCAACCTCAACCTCGCCCTCCATCCACTGTTCTTGAACCACAGTTCCTAAGCAGCAGTTCCTGGAGTCACCTGGAAAAGAGATCATTAGCACTTGTGATATTAAACCCATCCCGAGGAATCTGGAACTGACTCAAAACAGACTTTCGTATTTCAAAGGAAAAAGGAGTCAACAGGAATTGATAACAAAACATACAAACAGACATGTATGCATGAGAAAATGTTTAGGCAGATCACTGGCTGCGTCATCACTCCTTATATGTTATTTGAAATCCAGGGAACCATCGGTATAAATGTATGACTCTCAACCGAAACCCACGCCTCTGTGTCACTTTTGTGGTTTTGCCAGTTGAGCCTTGTGGTTTGGAGAAGCACCCTTCAAGTTTCATTATTTTACCCGAGTCCATTGGGCTCCTTTCTCTGGAGGGAAATTTTTTGTGTTGATTCTGTCAACTCTGCTGTGGTCAGTGACAGAGCGTTAATAAATGTGGACACGGCTATTTAAGCGTAAGAATGAGTGAGACGGACTAGTCATTCTCGAGGAGAAATCTGAAAGATGGGTGGATTATCTTCTTGCGTATGTATACGGATAAGTGTTTATGTAAGTGTGCGTAACGTGTAGTTTGACACAGTGGCATGAAAGGCTTGAAATTTGGGGGGGGGTGGAGATGTACACTTTTTGTCCCGTTAGGGTACTGAAAGCAATTAACTGTCCGCAACATCTGTGTATCTTCTAAATGTTTATCTGTTGGTTGTGTTTATATTAAACTTTCAAATGGGGGTCCACCCAGGGAGCGTATCCCCTCATGCCCCTCCCCGCCATAGACAGCTGTGCCACTGTTTTGAACTTTGTCCTTAATTTCCAGGAATTTTGTCCCGTATAAGCTCTCGTACATCTTTTTTTCGTCTTGTCAAATTTACAGTGATGGAATAACCTGAGCAAGTCTCACCGTGACTACCACCGTCGCTACCACCACCATCCCCCCTCCCACCCCCCGAAAGCATTGGGCATGATGGAGATAAAACGATTCACGCGCCACGACACCACCTTCAACGGCTGGCTGCTGAACCGGGCCTCGCACCACGGCCTGACGCACTTCTTCTCCCGCCACTGGCAACGCAACTGGTGCATCCTTGCCAACGGCCAGCTCCATTACTTCAAGCACCAGGGCAGCACGTCCCTGCACGGCTGCCGGCTGGTGTCCAGGGCCAGCAACCAGAGTGACCATGAGCCCCTGGGGTACGTTCTGGAGATCCACCAAGGTAAAGTAGGTTTTCTGAAACTTTTTAACCGAATATAAAATGCGTCATAATTTTGTTTATTGCCTTAATGGTTGTCGGCAACTTTCAGCATCCCCAAATCATTCATATAATTTTACATTTCTAATGCAATGGTATTTAATCAAAATTTGGAGGGACAGGTGCCCACTGTTTAGATGTTGAGTTTCATGCATTCAGAGGATGACATAAATGTTTGTTGAACAGAAATAAACATTTGAGTTGATGAACGGTGTTTTTGTGTATGCAATGAACTATTTCACTGCGTGACACTTTGTCACTGCAGAAAGGTTTGGATGTAATCATTTTTCATTCCTCATATAGAGAATCTAACATTATTCTTGGAGACATGGGTGTATGTGCTCTACACTCAGAGCTGACATAATGCGGTCAAATACCAATTACCGCAAAGTAAGCCTTGTGTATTTTCGTGGTACTGCATTGCCAACATTAGTAATCAAAGAGACTTAGGCAGTGTATCAACTTTGCGGCTTTGCGGTCGCACTGGATACTTCCAGAGTGTTTCCTCCTCTTCACACACCGCCTCACTCGTCCAGAACAGCAAAACTTACCTGGAAATTGCCTTGAAAAAATCTGTCTTTCGCTCCTCTCAACCAGTGCATTGTAAATGCCAAGAGTCCTGCAGTGCATGTGACTAGCCCCGGTAGGTCACGTACGGTGGTTTTCCCCACGGGATACAGGGGGTCAGTGAAGGTTCAGCTGCCGTGTGGCTGCCTAATGTTGTGACCAAATGGCTGTAGGGGGTAAAGGCTTGGCCTGCTGTGTTTAATTCAGACAGTTGCATTGGAGGTTGTAAGTTATAAGTGTAACTTGTAAAGCACTGCTGTCCTACGGTATGCCAGAATATCCCAACTTCCTGACTGATACACTGCTCGAGGGACATCCAGTGTGAAAACCTCTCAACGATTTCAGCGATTCATTTCCAAAGCAACTCTTTCTCAGGAGGCCACTTTCTGAGCCAAGTTTTGGCAAAGTCTCCCAAGACGTAACATGGAGCACCGGCCATGGGCACAAATCAAAAGTCATTTGCTTGAGGTTGACTTTCTTGAAGAAAGTTTGCTTGTAATTATTTTGTGCAAATTTTCATTTCCTCTTTATCCAATGTTTCTAGGCAATCTGTTAATTGGTCTATACATGCAGCTTAAAAAAATTATCTTTCTGACCTTTTGCCCTGAATGGATGACAAAGTAATCCAAAGCAGCTCTGAGTTGAGACAGAGTGACTCTTCATCTCAATTGAGGAGGTCAGTGACTTCTTTGAACAGCTGTCCTTATGGCCGTCTGTATTTGCGACTTTAATTATGTGAGAAGAACCCTTTCCGATAATGGTGCAGTGCTGCAAAATTATTAACTTTGTGCTAAATATTTAGGCTCAGGAGAAGAATAGCATGTAATTAGACATTAAATTCATTTCTCTAACAAGTCCAATTTCTGTTTAAGTGTGAAAAACAGACTGCAAAAGGCTTTAAGCAAGTTCCTGAGAAATCACTTCAGAGACTAATGTCCATTTTTGAAATCTTAAATGTAAATATGGGACCAGTCACTTCGCCTAAACAACAATGATGCTTCAGTGAAATCTGAAAAATATGCCGTTCTCATGAGTGACTTTGGAGCATTCTTGACAGTGTCGCTTGACCCAAAAGTGCCTCTGACCAAAACAAACCAGAAATCCTCTGCTCGCCTGCTGGGAGGAAGTTGCCAGTAATGACAGGAAGTATCCCTATATCATCAGCTCATTGCCAGGTAGAGTTGCCGGTCAACGATGAAGGGGTAAACACAGGTCATATGACCCGTCTCGATTCTTATCTGGACTGTCTGCTGTCAGCCCAAAAGCTTCCTGGTAAACCAGTTGGCGAGTGTGTGACATGTTGCAACAAGTGCCAAAAAAGCTGTGAACACTTGCAGCAAGTTGTCGATTTTGTGTTATTTTTAATTACATGTAACATGCTGTAATTGTTAATATTTGGCTAATTCGCACTTTTGCGAAACTTTTTTAGTCAGTGATTTAACTTAGATCTGAAGGAAATAGTTCTTGTTGCACTGTTTGGTATATCCACACTTAACATGCACAGATTTTAATTTGTGCGTTTTTTTAAGACTTCAAGTCACATATCAGACCTGATAATACTTGTAGCCATTGTAAATCGTGTTGGCTGTTGACATGTATACTTATTGCTTTTTTTTTTCCTTATGAAAAAGAGGGCCTCCCTCTTTGATCATTTACCATGTTTCTGCCCAAGAAAAAAAGGGTAAAAGATCAGTCATTTTGGCAGAAACCTGATGCTGATGTCCATCAACCAAACTCCCGTCCAACATAGGGGTGACTTTTTTTTTTCAAAACGATTTTATTTACAAGTGTGTCAAAAATGACGTGCAAAGCAGCCAAGTCTGTCAGCATTTTGTTACATTGAGTGGAAGGTCTCAATGTTGCATGAGTGCTGTTGTATGCTGTGCTGGTCTTGGCAGACTACTCTCCAAAGTGAACTATACTGTGCACGGCCGTGTTAGTCTAAAACAACGGATAATGGAAATAAAGGTAGCACTTTAAAGACTAACTAAAACAACAACTGCTATGAAAGCTTATGCAGTTGTTGTTTTAGTTGGGCTGCATCCGAATCTCTTGTCTAGAGCTAGGTCTAGGTCTTCACTCCATTGGAAATGCGTGGAGATGCGTCGACAATAGACCTAGCTGTAGCCCTGGAAGCCTGTTTCGGACACGGCCTTTGCCTTTAAAGTGATATTGCAGTTGTTGTTTTAGTTAGTATTTAAAGTGGTACCTTTATTTCCACTCTCAAGAATGAAATGATATCCTCACCAACCTGTTTTCTTGTAATCTCATGTCACACTACATGTACATTTGTGTATATTGCCATCAGCAATTAAAGGATCAAGTGACTCTCGTTTTGGGGATCAGTGAAACTCATAACTTGAACTCTGCTCTTCGCACGAGAAATCTCGGGCACTCGTTTCAAGAAGGGAGAAAGCTGAAGAAAGCAAAATCATTTTTTCCTCCCTGCTCACAGGATACGCTGGTTTTATTCCCTGTATCTCCAAAGGGATTAAATGGTGGCGTGAGTCAGGATGAGTGTGTCATGCTGATAAGATCTCAGCTCCAACCAATTACACCTGCCCTCATGCAGTCCAAACCAGTGTGAGTGAGTGTGTGTGGACTGCTTGTCTGCTAAGGAGCAGCTGAGGGACGACAACATTGAAATAAACTGGTTCATGGTAACAAAAGAGTGATCACGGCCATCTATCAAATTAAGACCCATTAAAAGTACTTGAAAAATTCGGTATAGGCCTCAGGGAGCACCACTGACTAGTTTGTATCTACTTGATGGACAGAATCACCACACATTCCTCGTAAACTACATTCTGACTGCTTGAAAGTAATGTACATGTACCTGTGTTACTCTGAGTAAACAGTAAGACTTTTGAAAGTAGCTGGACAGTTGCGGTATACCACTTCCAAAATCGTTCTCGATAATCTGCCTTGAGCTGAAGCACCCCTCATCGGTTGAAAAGAGCCATGTTGGTTGGAAGTATTCATTTTGTTGGTAGCAAAGCGACTGCAACACTTGCATTTCCTAATTGTTCTTGAACCACCGATGTGCAGTTGGTACCAAAGGATCCTCTGTTGCCGAGGAGATCGCGCCCTCTCTCAGTCCAGCTCGAGGCCTATTATATCTCATCTCAACAGTGCTGTTTATATCTCGAGTCAATATGTCTTTTACTTCTTATCTTATTGTTGTATTTGAGCTAGAGGTTTTCCACTATTTTTTTGTCAGTTTGCAGGCAACAATTACAATAATAACATCACAAATCAAGCTACAGCCAGTGTACTTTTAGAAGAGGTTACAAGAAATTCAGTTGTCTGTGTTAAAACTTTTGTTTTCAAAAAGCTGAGGGGGTTTCAATTCTGTGTTTGTTCGGTGCTTGTCCTAGTCATAGCTATACAACTCCACCTTGACTGGAGCTATGACTTCCTTCCATTAACCCTCCCTGGCAATGAGTCCCTGCCATAATTCACAATGACACCCCCCCACACCCTTTCCTGTCCCAATTTTCCCTAAATAACAATTAGAAATTGCCTTTGGGAAACGGGATCACGATCGGCGTACCCAAACACACTGACATCGTGGAACAAAGGCTTGGTCCTGTGCGTGATTCATGTATCACATGAGCTTTGAAGAGTGTACACTCACCAACCCACAAAGCTCACAGTGAACTTCAAAGGTTAAGGTCCCAAATCATGCTGTGTCCTGTACCGGTATGTATTCATGTATCACTTTAGGGGCATGACATCGATGCGTTATTTCCTCTAGACATTGGCTGATGTTTGTCGTACATGTACCGGCACAGTTGGGGCAAATAGTTTACAGACGCTTGGTAGAAACACAGTTTTCCATAATTTTTCACTGTTTGAGATACACGTAGTTTTGCCAACTTTTTCTCTATGAGGTCAGACTAATTGCATCTCAACTCAATGTTCATTGTGTGTACTTCAATTGAAAATACCCAGAGACATTTATTATGGTTCAAAATACAATGTATTAATATTGCTGAAAAAATATTTTGTGAAAATTTACATGTTATACTCCCTTATTGTTCAAAAAACGCATCAGAACATGGTCCACTGCGACCATGGGATGTGACAAAAAATACAGGAAGTGGCACTGAACACCAGGGTTGGAGTATGTACAATTAATTTTTGTTGTTGTAAATGTAAATATGAATCACATGGGTGTTTTTATTTGATGCATGCACAATGTACATTAAGCAGAGACTCATCTTGTCTGTCCTCATGAAAACAGAAAAGCTGGTAGGAATGAGTGAAGTTGTGAAATTTGAGGAAAACTGTTATTGTTCTACCAAGTGTATGTAAACATTTTGCTCCGGCTGTTTGTCTTACTGGAATGTATGTACATGTAAATGGGTAATTCCAGAAATTAGGGGTCCATTTTTCTCTTTTTGTGTTCCTGTCACATCTGACATATGATTTGGTAAGTTCAGAGCACATTTTCTAATTTCCAAGAGTGATAAATTAATGCAAATTACCTGCCAAACAAATAGTAACAGTTTGAAGTCAATTCCGGTGATATTTCCATCATGCCAAATAACAAGGGTCAGATGTAATGTAACAGGGACACGAAAATGTCACACTTTTGGACCCCTAATTTTTGGATAACCCAAATACGTGTTTGTGTTTAAATGTTACAAGTGACTGCAGCTGAGTCACTAAAACTGTAGGAAACACGGCAAGGTGTGGTTACAACGTGATGGGGACACCCTTGCTGGGCTGCGTCATTTCAAGTGGTCATTAATCAAAAAAGCTTGAATGTTATGGAAGTGTGAATTGCCAGTTGGTTCAGAAAGACGGTAACTGTGTGGTGGCACTTTTACAATTGTTTGAAAAATGCAGCGTTTAAAAGAAGGAATTTAAAATTGAACAACAAACATGGGGAGGGGTTGTTTCATGAAGAGTAGAAAGCAATGAATATTATGCGGTTTACTATACTCTAATTCGTCGTGCAGTGACACCATGTTTGCGTGCTTCCCTTCATAACATTCAAATACTGGGTGCTGTGATTTGCCTAAATGCATGTTTGGCTTCCGTGCGTAAATTAAAAAATATTATTTCTCTTCATCAAATTAATCTCACTCCGTGACACAGACTCATAAGTAATGCATTAGGGTGTTACTGATACACAACAATAACCTTAACAGGGAGATGTCACCTTTCTTATTAATATACTAATTAATATTTCTTTTATTAGTATTATTATTATTTTTTATCAGCTAGAGTGTGGGGTGGGTTGACACCCCCTTCCATCTGGACCTGAGCCTGTGCAAGGTACATGTATCACTCCCCATTTTTCACCATGCAAACTTCATATCTAGAATCCGAGCTCATTCAGTTGACGGAATTCACATGTGTGACTGTCTGTTAACTCTTCCACAATTAAGCACCCATTGAGACCCACCAAGGGCTCTGGTGGGCTTAAAGTCCTTATCTTCCTCTCTCATGCTTGGGTATACATGCTCCACACACACAAGCAACCAAGGGTCATCCTGTGTGCCGCCAAGGAGGTAGCCACTAAGCCTCACCTGTTGTCCCTGACCACAGCATTGACTCAGCCCAGCAAATGTACTCCTGGAGTCTCTTTGTAGCAATTCATGCGGTTTTTGCATTTGACTCACTCGTTACCAGCATCGCCCTGCGAGGGTTGGTCTCACCCCAAGTCCCATGTGGTAGGCATTTGCTGGTCCAGCCTGACATTTGTCAGATGCCCCACAGTGCAAAATACAAGTGACTTGAAATGGCCATGCGTATTACTCAGGCCACGCATCACGTGTATTGATGGCATTGTTTGTAATTAGCCTCCACAGAATCAGAAATGGATTCCTAGAAGTAATTAAGGGTGCACAACCAATGCCTGCTATCTTTACTTTTGGAGATCCAGATGTTAAATTTGTATACATTACTAGGGAGAACAGTTTCATTTCTACAGTATTTAGCCAAAATTGAAGTTGGACGCATCTTGGCCGTGGTATCAATGTTTATCTTGATGTACATCCCAGCGTACACTGCAGATATTCCCCATCAGTATGAAGCATCGCTGTTAAGGTCTTGACCACATGTAGCTGGGAGTAAAACACAGAGTCTGTCAGAACACGGGGCTTCATGTATAAAATTCAGATTAAGTGGCTACAGCCACTGACCCGTGGCTCTTGTAGGTGAACATGCCATTGCTAGCTGCCCAGATAATACATGTATGTTCTGTTGGCCCTAGGTACCAGCGTTCTGTGAGCATCAACCCTACTTACTTGTGCTGGTTAGCGACTAAGCCTCACATTTCATGTTTGTGCTAATTTGTACTAAACTGTTTACTAGCTACATGTACATGTAGTCTGAAGCTCTTTCAAAATCAAATTTCAAAGAGATAAGCAGAGTTTTGTTTCTTCATATGCCCTGAAATTCATAGCCCCTCATTTTTGTCATTCTTGTCTGACTATACAACACCCTCATCGGTTTGCACGAAGACCCCATATTGGCTCAAGTGCATTTGCACAGAGCTTTAACATTCTATCTTTTAAAACCAATATTTTGCAGACTTTTCTCCGCTTGTTAAACCTGTTTCTGCTATTAACACACAAAGCAGGTCTTCTCACTGGCAAGAAATGAAAACAAGGTGATGAGTTGATAATTGCTTCAATTTAGAAAGGTCAGCTGAAAGTGATAAAGGTTTTTGACAGGCAGAATTGAATTCAAGGATGATAAATATCATTTATCTGAGCGTCATAGTCACACTCCTGGGTGATGATAGATGGAACGCAGTTGCTGATGACTGCATAGGCAGTAAATCACTGTGCAGACACCTTCAACCTGTTCATTTCTAACTGCAGGTAGCAGGACAGTGCACCGCACTCAAGGACCTTCTGCATCTTTCTTTAAACACAATGCAAGCCACAAGTTTGACTCAGCCTTTTTTTTTGAGACAGCAGACACGTGGAGTCTTGTGACACTTTCCGTCCGATTTCTTGAGAATGCCGTCACTTTGCAGATGTTAGAGTGTATAAATGAAATTGCTCCTGGATTTTGTCAGTGCGTCTGAAATGCCTGGGGCCATTTGCAGTTGTTGTGGGCACCGCCCAGATGGCCCCACCCAGTTTTTGGGTCAAGGTGCGCGCGCATGTCAGTGTTTTTGTAAGTTTTGTCTCTTGTGGCTTATGAGTGCAGTGCCTTCCGATATATAGGCGTAAAGGCCTGGGTTCAATTCACAGCTGATGCAGGCCTTATGTGAGTAGAGCTGTTGATCCTCTCTGGTGCCACAAGGATTTTGCTCCAGCTCCTCTGGTTCCCCTCCCCTCGCAAAACTCAATATTTTCAATCTCTAACTTTGCTCCACAGTCAGTACTTTTTAAGGGTTTTTTTGGTGGTTGCCTGAAGCACCTCTGTACGTGCATGTTTTTGGCGCAAGCTACGTCCTTTGTAATTCAGCCTTGCGGACACAACTTACATGTAGGAATGTGAAATTGAATGTTTAAACATGTTAAATGTTGAAATTCTTGTCCTGCTAATGACAAGTTCATTCTGAATATGCAAGATCATGTTTTTCTTGTTCCCACAAAAGTAATTTGCAGCAAAGTTTTTTCCTCTTTTTTTTTAAAGCTAATTCTGTAAGCACTGTAGCGGGGGGGAGACATATGTGATGCAGGCTTCCTTCAAATATAGTCATGCCCCCATCACCTCTCCCCATTGGAATAAAGAAAGTTACAGAATTATTAAGAAAAATGGAATTTTTGTGGTCCCCGCTGTGACATCTAAGCCCCAACCCCCACTTTATCCCTGTGACAAGAATCCCTGCCGCACCAGTATCTTCAACACTTCCTGTCTGTATGTTTTGGTTCAGTCTTTTAATTCTCCGATCTCTGATCTCTTTCTTCTCATTCTTTGGTGAACAGAAACCAGAACTTCGTCAAAGAGAGGATCACCTCACGATCGACAGAATCCAGAATGTAAGTGTATGTGTAGAAACAAATTAAGAACAGGAATGGTCATGCTGCAACAACACTGAAGTCTGGGCCCTCAATGCTGGAAAAGACAGCTCTTTCGAGTCAATGCACTGTCTGTCGCCAGTGCTATACTATCATCAAGAGGCGGATCCGGCCAAACGGTGCCAACAACGCTGTGCTCCTGTAATATAAGCCTGGATTTGCTCTTGAACATAGTGCTGGGCCAAAATATTGCGGCTTCTTTTTCCTGTATGTGTTATTAGGGACATCCTCCTTAGTTTTGTAAACAAGCCAGGAGGGAAGGGGGTCGTGGGCAGTGAATGGGGCCACGTCTGTCAAACTGACGCAGATGACAGCTGACCACAGCTTCCAGTAATTTCACTACACTTCACATAACCTTGTACCTTGCACGAGTCTTATGCTACAAATTTGTTGCACATCTGGGCAATGTACATATGATCAATTCCACAAAATGGTCACGGACATGCCATTTAGGATGAAGACGATCTTAACTTTTATCAAGACTGTTTGTCTACAGTTTAACAAAAGTTGTTACAATTCAACAATTAGCTCTGGCTGTCCTTGAGGACAAATTTGCATTTCTTTTTTGTCGGAACTATTTGTGGAAATCTAAACTTCATTTTAAAAACCCTGAACATTTCTTGTGTGAATGTTGATAAGTTGAGCAGTGATGAGCTCTTTGGTAAATGTGATTCATCAGTGAATTTTGCAACCTGACTTTTACAACTTACGCAGCACTAAAACAATGTAATTATGCAATTTATACCATCATTTGTTGGGTAACCCAAACTGAGCAGGTGCACAACACCTAACCTTTGGGACATAATTTGCTGAAGTTTTGGGCAGTTGGCTACTGGACTTGTTATCTGCCGTATGCAGAAGCACCCCTTCATCGGTTGAAAAGAGCTGTGTTTGTGGGGTGTGTTCATTTTGCTGGTAGCAACACAACCATAACACATACATGTCATTTTCACACATCATCGTTTGTGAACCAACAAAGTGCCGTTCCCATCAAAGGAACCCCCGTTCCTAGGGAAATTACACCCTCTCTTGGTCCAGCTTGGGGCTCATAGGTCTCACAATAGACATGGCATGGCATACTCACACCGATGTCAGGCCCTACCCGTCTTTCCTCCATGTTTGTGAGGACCCATGCCAAGCCAGTCACCTTTACGTTCATCAGAGGGAGTGAAGTTCCAGACAGGATGTTAGTTGGATCTCCCCAAACTCTGATAACCACCCCAGATTTCTTGGGGCCAGCCATAATCCCTCAGAATGATTCCAGTTCATGCACGATATAGCTTTTCCAAGAACCGCATCAGGTTTGGAACTGTTTGGAATGCATGTCCTTAACTTGATATGCATTGATCCATTGATCCAGTGCGTCGTGCACTCTTCACGCCAATGTCGGACACTGAACATAGTCCCCCATTTTGTGAGTCATAAAATAAGACTGTGTTAATTTGCTTGAACTAATAGGCAATTGACACACAGCACTTTAATTTAAACCCGAGTTCAATGGTGTTATCCTGAGGAAGTAACTTTGAAGTTTGGAAGTTCAGTTAGCGGATGGCAAACAAAACTTTACTACCATTTTTGCACTGTTAAATTTACCAAAAGTCACAATGTTGAACATTGTGTGATTTTCAGAAAGAAACTATGGAATGATGCTAAAATAAGAAAAAAATAAAAGTAATTTTGAAACAAATGCAAGTTAAAGTTGGTGTTAGAAATAGTGCTTTGATGGTCCTTTTTTCCTATTTTACCAGTAAAAGTGTGTCAAATGTCAAATTCTGTTTCTTTGGAATTATCCCACTCTAACTTTTCATCCCTTGCCAACCATTTAGTTACCAGTGTATGGCGTGTGTTCTGGGGGATTTCCCCAAAAGATTCAGAGCCCGGGCCTTCACCACATTGATGAGGGGACAACTTCTTTCGTTCAATAGAAAAGTCGACACTGAATTGTTGGGGCAAAATTTGCCTCCACAACATATTTGGAACCCATAATGTCTATAGTCCCAGTAACCCAGTAGATAACAAGCAGTCACTGTGGTGGGTAGGCCCTCACCACATTGTGGGGAAGTTTTCTATTGTTAGGCAAATGAGGAATGAGTCCTTGGGACCTTCTGTTGTCCCGACAATATTTTTGGTCCCCACAAAGTTGCTGTAATGATGTGTGTACATCCTCACAACTACGGAACAAGTATGTACCCACACGTGTGACTAATCTCTCTCAGGATGTCGCATGGAACTTAAAAGTGGGATTCTCTGTCGGTACCAGCCTGCCAGTCCTTGGTGACCTCCCAAACCAATTGTCCCCTTCCTGGTGAACTTGGCAAGGATTTGGGTGGTTTTCCCTTGAGCTGCAAATCCCGTTCCACATTTCTTGTGCATTATCTTGTTCTTTCTGGCTCACTCGCAAACTTTGGATCTTGGAAATTCTTTGTGCCAACTCTTTGAAATGAAATCCAACATGTAACTTCCTGTCATGATTTTTCAAAGGACATTGAGACTCCATCTAAAGCAGTAGAAGCTTCGTTGTTGTCGAGACCATCACAAGAGCAGGCATGAGACCGGTCACAAGACCAGTCACATGACTGGTCACAAGACCAGTCACAAGACTAGTCACAAGGAACAGGGTGAACAATGGCAAAGGAATGCATTGGTTGCAGTTCATTTGAATAGCTTGTGACTTGAATTATTATGGCTGGAGGTCTTGTGCTGGGCTTTTGTTAGGCCTTAAGAGGTCTCGACTACGACCATGGATATGTTGCTTTAACAATGGTTGCAAGAACAATATCAGTGGGATGCTACGGGTTAAGGGATACAGTATACAGAATAAATTCAATGAAGAAATAGAGCCAACCCCATGTGCATGTTCAATTAGCTATCTAACACCCAATCTACAGTTTAATATGAGACTGGTCGAACTAAAAAATGGAGCCCAGCCTGCGGTGTTGTATTCGAGTCCATCACAAGTCCTTTCACAAGTCCCTTCACAAGGCCAGTCACAAGTCCCTTCACAAGGCCAGTCACAAGTCCCTTCACAAGGCCAGTCACAAGTCCCTTCACAATGCCAGTCACAAGTCCCTTCACAAGGCCAGTCATAAGTAACAGGGTGAACAATGACAAAGGATTGCTTTTGTCACAGCTCATTTGAATAGCTTGTGAATTGGCTGAAGACTGAATGACTTGTGATGAACTTGTGGTGGACATACAGGGACTTGTGAGGAACTCGAATACAACACTGCCAGCCTGCCAAGGGTGGTTTCTTTGTCGGCTTTTCAATACATGTAGCTGCATGTGTCTAAATATTTAAGAATTCAGGACTATGGGCTTAAGGATGAAACTCACCATCATGGTTTGAATAGTGGATATGAAGTGCACCATGAACCAACCACTAGTTGACCAGTGGTTGCATGATGAAATTTATTTGCTCAAGTTCTATTATCATGTATTTGGTTAAAGATGTTTGCATCAATCATATTGATGAAGTACCCTTTGTGTGGTTCCTGACCTCATACAGCCAAGAAGCACAGTCATCACAGTTCAAGCTCCAAGCCATTCCTAATCTGCACCTCCACATTACTAGAGCTAGAACACTGGGAGAGAGAAATACGCCGTGTCAGGGGAGGTAATGACTATTCATCATAGTTATTTATGCAGATGTCAAGAGAGGTTATGAATATTCATTGTGTTTGTTAAATCTCCTTCTTCCTTTCCCCTCTCCCAAGCTTTGCATTTATTCCATTTTGTGCATTGAAATTTCCATCTTTCACAGGTTAATGTGCTACTTTAAAGTGTTAAATTTACACCAACGTTTACAAGTGGAAAGCATGGTAGCATCATAAAATGCAATTTATTGGAGTTTGAAATTTGCAAGTCATTTGGTTGTCGATTTGGCTAATATGGAAGTATCTGATCCCCACCTTTGCGTCATATTTTTCAGACTACAGTCATATGCAAACGTTTAGGACCACTTATACAAAATACATTAACCTGAAGAAAAACCAAACTTAAACCAATTAATCATGGCAAATTGATTGTTTATTTTCAATGTGTGACCTTAGTATCCTGGTTAAACGGCCACGAGTATTTGACTGCATTTTCCATGATTTGTAATGTTAACAGTCTAATATGTAGTTTGCCTGCCCTTATTTCTGATCACTTAGACTGGCTTTTTTTACCCAAGCTGCCTTACAGACAAAATGCCATATAAGACCTGCCTTTACAAACGATTTTATTCAAATGGGTGTATAGCACTACACTGATGTTATGTACCACTGTAAAATCATGTTAATTAATCATTCATTCAGACAGTGTAATGCAGACCCAGTGACAGAAATTGACTCTAAAAGTCCAGGTGGCCTTAAACTTTTGCAAATGACTGTATGGTGCTCAGACTTGAAAACATTTACGTGTAACTATTACTTTATGAGCGTATATACGGAGCATGAACTTAAATGTACTAGGGAACTTTACACAAGAAGATTCCAAAAGTCAGCACATGTTGAGCTGAGCTTTCACAAAACCTGTCTTCATTGTCAAAAGTAAGGGACAGCGAACCCCTTTTGTGCACTTAAGAAATTGCAAGTGGTTGTCCCCTGTTCCCCCCTCCCCCCGCCCCCGTTTTTGAGTGAGCAGTATATGCTGACCTATAGGCTGCCCTTGATCCGTGGAAGCAGAATGCCCACCCCTGGATCTGCTGATAAAGAAGTGCGTCTACCATAGCAGTCCCATTTACCGGCAGAGGTGGAGAAAAGAAATGACGTCATGAACTCATTTGAAAGAAGTCTGTAAAGAGGAAGAAAAAAGAATAGAGATCTGAGTCTGCAGGGTGGAAAGGGGGCTGGCAGAGAGTGCACCGTATTTTTGTGAACCATAAGGAAATTGGCCCTGAGTCCCTGAGTGCCACCGTCCCACTTCATACGCTGATTCATGGTATGCCCTGAACACGTCTTCCCCTCCTGGGGAGAGAAAGCATAAAGGAAAAACAAAAAAATGACATGTTGATCCAGGTCAGGGCAACTCCATAGGGAGAACCGTGGAAGTATGTTCAGACTATTGACCTAATTGATAAATCAAAAGAAAGACCCAAATTCTAAAGGAAATGTCAAACATTGTCTTGAGGAGTAATGTGATGGTAAGCTGGTGACTTAGGTTTTTTTTTTTGGGGGGGGGAAGATGGACGGAGAGAGGGAGGGAATAGTGTTCAAGATTGCAGGGATCTTTGAAAAATAGCGCTTGTTCAGCTTGGCCTTGAAAAGAGTCACTCCGAAGGTCTTTTTTTTTAAGTAGCTTTGGAGCCTACGATAACACGATTGATTTTGCTTGGTAGCCCATCAGTCACTGAAGCAGGACATCTTCTCTGACAATGATGGAGTTGTCAGAGTGAGATCGTTTAAAGCAACTTTAAACATTGGGCACAAATGGTGTGCAGTTCGCTCGACCAAAGTCTCGGCTTATGCGCAGAGAGAGCTTACCTCGAACTCTTTCATTTGTACAACTGAGATTCTCAGAATTGCCACAAGGGAAAACTCGGTGCCCGGAAATCACCCTCCTAATACTCAACAGCAGAAGTCATTGACCCAACTTGGACCACAAAAGCACCATGTTGGCCCAGTATCCGCTGCAGGGGTGATATGTGTAGATGATTGATGTCCATTTCCCCATTCCCTTCCACCATTCCTACCTTCTGCCTCTCCCCGTCCCTAACACCTTCCCTCACCACATCCGCATAAGCCCCTGGAAGCTCTCACCAGTTACCCGAGTTAAAAGGGAAAGGCAGCTCTAAAGCAAGTGATTTTTGTTTTCCTTTACATTTTTTTCTCTTTCTTTAGTAGTCTCTTCTTCATTTAACTGGTTCTTTTTCAAAATCATTTTTCAGAAATTCGTGAACAATCTTTCCTTCCATATTCCACCTATGGAACAAAGCCAAATGTTCATTTCTTTCAGAATCTGCCCTTTCTTTATAGAAAAAAAATTCCTTGAATTGTTTTTCGTTGTGTAGGAGTCTTTGGCCAAAGTTTGGAGGACACCATCATCAACGAGAGCGACACCTGCACCAAAGTCATCCCATCGGTGGTCGAGATGTGTGTCACTTACATCAGAAATAATGGCATCAGGGAGGAAGGCATCTTCAGGTGGGAGAGCCTGTCAGTTTGTCACTGTGCTTGTCTCTTAAAAAAAAAAGCCTACCTTTCATAGACAATATTGGTGCTATGATGCACAGCATTACATCAACTATTTGACCATTTGACATCAAGGGCAGTTTCAGCACAAACTATGGTTTGACCACTGGTCAATCTTTTATTCTGATACACACAGCAGTACAAGTCCACTCAAGTGACCCTAGTCAAACTGCTTTCGTTAGATTCCGTTGTCACTTCGTATTTTGCCGCTGGTTGCATTTCTCACTACATTCAAGGTCTGTGTCATTTTGCACAATTACATGTATTTTCTTGTCAACAGTTCTGTGAATACTTAATTACAACAAGATTATTGATGACCAGCAGCGCGACCATGCACTGGGGTCGGATTCCATCTCAACCACATGTAGACTAGCCAACCATTCACCATTCAAGTGGCAGTGGTCAAACTATCGTCAACTAGAGTTGTCGTTCGAAGTTACCCTAGATGAATCATGGCACGTGGCATTAATCCCTGTTGTCCAAGTCTTGTATGTATCTGGACTCAGATGCGTGATATTAATACGAGCACATTTGTTGGTTCCCACAATAACTATCATATCTTTCCCCAAAACTACAGAACAAGAATGTGTGCTAATCTTTGTGCTCGTGGGTATTCAAATCAGTTGACCTGGTTTCAGATTCAGCATCCGTGTTCAGTTACTCACTGCACCGCGACGCGCATCAACGCTTTTGCGGCAGTTTATTCATTCAAGTCAACTATCAATCTTAGCATGCCAGTTCCCATTAATGGTTGTAGCAAATTTCCCTATGTATGTTGATACTGATGTCCTTGGGATTTCGTCACCAACATGAAATAAACAGTACTATATACACGTACATGCTTGCAGTCACCGATTCTGCATTGAGTGTCAGACTGATATTCAGGCAGTGTCCAGATTATAGACAGTTTCCTTTAGTCAATCTCTCCCTGTTTCTTCATCCAGATTAAATGGGCGCAGCAGCATGGTACAGGAGCTGCAGGATGCCTTCGACAAAGGCGAAAGGCCCTGCTTCGAGGACCTCAGCCCCGGGGTGCACACCATCGCCTCGCTGCTCAAGCGCTACTTCCAGCTGCTGCCGGAGCCCATCATCCCCTGGCGCCACTGCAAGTACTTCATCCCCGTCATGCAGCAGCTGCAGGAGAATGAGGATGAGGGCCGCTTCAAGCTGATCATCCAGCTGGCGCTCCTGCCCCGCATCAACTACAACCTCCTCAAGTACCTGTGCCAGTTCCTGCACGATGTCCACCGCCAGGAGCTCTACAACAAGATGGGGCTGGGCAACCTGGCCAACATCTTCGCCCCGCACATCCTGCGGCCCAAGCATGCCCAGGGTGCGTTCCTCCTGGGCAGCACGGCGCTCAGCTTGCGGCTGGTGCACTACCTGATCCAGCACCAGGACAAGCTCTTCCCGCCCACCAGCGACATCCAGATGGACTATGAGGTCGTGGAGGCACCCTCGCCCGTCTCCAGTTGCGACTCCTCGGGGAGCCTTTACGAGAGGACCAGCTCATGTGAATATGAGGTGGAAATGATCCCTCCATTCCCAGAGCACAAAGATAGTTTTGGAGAAAGCCTGGACAAGAAGGTGACAAGGGTCCAGAAGTCCGAAAGTTGCAATTATGAGCTGGAATATTTGGGAGAGGAGTACCGTACACCAGCGGATGTGAATAGTATCTATGAAAATTTGGACCTGTCCAATGGACCATCATTGATTGAATCGTTGAAAAACCGCATCTCAGAGATGCCCAGTAAGCCACTCACCCAGAGCGAACAGAAGGCTAAGCGGTACGGTGTGTCATACCGCGACCCAGCGTCTATAGCCACCGTGATGAATGGACATCGGCGCCACTCCAGCGGCAGCCCCAGCAGCAAAACAAGCAGTGTCTCCGGTGAGAACACAGTCCCCATCATGCGTGGCAAGAAGCATAAAGTCCAGAATGGGGATGTGCACAGCCAGATCCAGTCCACCTACCAGAATGTCAAGACCCTGGCCATCTCCTTCAAGGAACAACAGGCTGAGGCCAACAACGGCTCCGTGGGCGTCTACCAGAACCCTAACCCTCTCCACCATGCCTTGATCCGCGACCTGAAAGCGGCCACCTCCAATGAAGACGACTACTTGCAGCCCACCTTTCACAAGCAGCCCGTCACCCGCACCAACGCCGAGGCCCTGAAACCACCCAAGCCAGCCCTAAGGACTGTCCAAAACGGGGACGTCCAGAAATTGCCTCGTCAGACGAAGGAGGAAAAAGAATCTTTGCTTTCGGCAGACAGTAACGGGCCAAATGGAAGCTTACCCAGCACTAGCCATGCCAATGGACAGAAAGCCATACCGAGCGGAGACACAGTGGCACCCTCACAGGGACTGAGAGTGCGACTAAGACAGAAAGAAGAGGAGATTGCAAGGCAGCAGAAATCTTTGGAGAAGATCAGGAAAGAGCGTGAATCACTCAGAGTCAAATTGGTTGCTGAGGTCAGTCGCTATTTATTTATTTACAACTGGACTCACACCTACATGCAGAAAAACAGAAAGGTCAATGCCAAATTCTCTGTGGGAATCCCACTGTGGACCCAACAAATTTAACGACACATTTCAAGAGCTGCTCTCTACTTTAATGAGCAAACCTTGTACAGTGGAAGTCAGTAGGCTTTGTCAGTGTTTTCCATTCAAATGAAGTCCACCTTTCGCAGGAAGTTAAACCATTTGATATGCTGCACATTTATCACAACAGAGCAATTATGTGTTCTTACTAAGTCAAACAAGTCAGAGGAAATTGTCCTGAAGAGGACATGTGATACATGGACATTATCTCTACAGTATAACCTCCACTAATGGCATACTTAATCCAGTGTCCAGTTCATACTAAACACCCTTTGGCTGTTTCTGTGACCCATCATACCCTCAGTAAGAGCTCCATCAGACTCCTTCCCCGTCAATGGAAAGAAACAGAACATAAATTTCACCTTTGCAGCAATAGTACTACCATGCAACTCAAATGGTATTTGGCCCTAACTTCATTGTAATGGGTTCTTTTCGTTTTTCTTCATTCTTCACTGGGATGCAGGAGGCAGCCCGAATCACTGCCGAGGAGCGCAATCGCAAACTACAATTGGAAGTAGACACGCTGAAGCGACGTCTTGGCCTCATCCGATGAACTCATCCCTACTCGGCCTAACCAGGCCAATTGCATATAGTCTGATAACTAAGTGCTGTTGCAAAGGCCACCTGGTATTACGTATTTATATAGTTGAGCCTTTCCAGTTTTAAATGCTGCTATTTGCTGTCAACTTTGTTTTTCACGCAATTATTTTATTGTACTTTTCATTGGAGACCTTTTTCAAGTCTGATTTTCCCCCCAAAGAGTAGCCTGAAACCGGGCCGGACGGGTGATGTGGTATGTCTATCCAAAGTTGTACCGATAAATGTGAGGTTTTTCTGGACACTCTTTTGCCTTGTAGTGAGTGGGGTGTGTGTGATGGGCATTGTAAATCTCCTGCAGTTAATTTGAATTATACAGGTATAGCAACAGTGTTTAAGTCTGGGGAGCTTGTCAGGTAACGGTTGCCAACATCTTCTTATGGGTCATAGGTCAGTCAGGGGGCCCGAGGTCAACTTTGCTTGGAATAGCTACGTACTGATTGCCCTGTGTCAGCTGGCATGCAAGATCAGCCAATCAGAGTAAAGAACATGAAGTGAAATCTCAGCACGCCACCAATAAAATTCCCGGAGCTAGGACAGGTTGCTGAGCAGCCAATACCTGCCCTTACATCAGTGAGAAAAGTCAAATTGACAATATTAATTATTTCTTACGGCGCTGCAGTTGAACAGCAGAGCCACCGAACATTGCTGTAAGGTAACGGCGGCATTGCCTGATTACAGCATTTATTTCCATTAATAAAATATCTCCTTAAGGGTAAGAAACGGGCAATAAGTCCCTCATGTCAGAGAGGCAAAACTCTGTTCATTTCATCCATAGCAGTCATGGGCCGCAGGTGGTTGACAGAGATAAGTCATGGCTTGACAGGTTGCCATTCAGGGTAGGAAGGACGCCGCTACTTGAACCTGGATCAGAAAGTAGCTCGATCACACCTGTACACTTTAAAAGTGTTACAGAGTTGTCACCGAGCCGGTCACAAAGTCACTGCAAGTTGGTTTCAAGATAGTACCGAGTCAAATTACAAGCTATTGAAATGAACTAAGGCATTCATTTGTCCTTGTTCAGCTCTTCAGTTCTTACCTGACTTGCAGACTGACTTGCAGACAGACTTGTGAGTGACTCGATACCAACTCCAGAATGTCACTACATACACTGTAGTTAGCCACTCGTTTGCAAAGTTCTGTCAAGTTCAAGTGAAACTGTGCCGAAGGTTTCGGTTGCCGTCTGAATTCGTTATCAAGGAATGACCTTTTTTTGAACAACTGAATTGTTCTTCAAGCACCCACTCAGCTACCAGAGGCCATTTTCATTGATCTGCTTGGCACACTTGGCTGTTGTGAAGACAGGATACCAGCCAGAGTTGTCATATGGTACACATTGCTTTGGCTGGTTCTCAGTTGATTTATTTCTTAGCACAAAAAAGTGCTCAGGAATTGGGCCTCGAAAGGAATTCCATGACATGGAGTCCAGCAAAGTTTTTGAGAATTCCAGGTTGTACTTGAAAGAGAACGAATATCACTAGACTTCATATTCACAGTGATTTTCTTAATATTGTAGTTATCGTTCTGTTCAAGCAGAACATCAGGGACTTGCACTGGACCCATATTGTAGGCATATCTGAGGAGATGCTGTAACTGTGCTGGCACCACACTCAAGCGTGTCAAAGCATCTGATTGGTGGAAGAGGCAGGTAACACATGCACCCCCCCCTCGGGCACGAGCATTGTGTCACCGCAGTAATGACTTCCTGCTTGCCGCATTGCACAATACATGTATCTCCCTGACCAAAGTAGCAGCAAGGGCCTGTTTGTTTCATACAGATCCAGATCGCAATCAGCGATCCGACGTTGGTCCACTGACACCAGAACCCACTTAACTGATGGCACAAACCAGCTTTGGGATCACTGATTGGGATCCAAATCTGTGGGCAACAAACAGGCGCTGAAAGACGTTGGACCCATTAGCACAGAAGCACTGTAGTTATGAATTATAAGTAATTTTAGTAGACATTCCACGCACTTTTAGGTATCATAGCAATGGGATGGGGACAGCAGAGGTCAACTCTAGGTCACAGTTGTTATCACTCATGATTTCAGGTGTTCATTACCACCAAGTTAAGCTCGGTAATCTAAAAATGGGATGGCGTGTTCAGTTAATATTGCCATCTCATTTGGCCGGGGGGTAAGATTAACCTGTGACTGTGCTGAGCCCCACCCCTCCCCCTTTCTTCTCTTTCTAATCGTTTAACGAAGAACAATTGCCAACACCTGCGTTGTTTTGGTTGTTACGCTCCGTTTGGAGTTGCAGTGACACCCCGGGGCCAAGTACGCCCGGAACCAGATCCGGCGCGCGTGTGACCCTCCAGTACTGTGACTCTCTGAAAAGTGGGTCAGGGGTCCACAACCAGTCCCACCTTGAAGTTGATCACGTTATAGCTGGAGGGAAAGGCTGGGGGGGGGGTTACTGGGTGGTACGTTGTCTCACTGTGTCTGATATCAGTCTGAGGGTGGGCTCGAGATGGGTGCGGTCAGTGTCATTTGCCTGAATGAGAACAACGGGAAATCATTTCTGGCGATAATCCAACTTTTTTCAATCATACTGTGCCCATTTCTTTGCAAAAATTTGATGTAAAAAAAATCAAAATTTTGCTGTGCTAGACCTTACAGCACTTGCAATTCTTAGATTGAAATTCCAAAATTCTGCTCCACTGGCATTCACGTGGAGTTTGCAATCCTACACATTTTGATTAGTTGACATCCTTGGCATTGAGCCAATCCCCGGTCACCCTCCAAACTTATTCAACTGTGAGATAAAAACTGTCGCTTCAGCCGGTAGCACATCCTTCCCTTTTTTTTTCGTCTCCATTTTTGCACTCGTGTCACCTCATTTATTTTCTGCAATCGGTATCTCACAACATACCCTTCAGCACAATATCCAGGTACCGAGGAAGTGTAGTTGAATAACAAAAATCTACTTTTGTCTCCATGGTAATTTCTCAAACAGGAAAGCAGTCACAATTACTCATGTCTGTTGCAACATAACTTCTTTTTTTTCTGTTTTCGACCACCTTTGGCTTCTTCTAAATGTCAGGTAGGCCAGGTTGTTAGTCATTTGGGGGGGGGAATGGTTTCAGGAGAAGACAAAAAGGTAAAGTTGAGAGAAACTGGATGTGACCTGTGCCGGTTGAACAGTTAGGAAGCCCCCACGGTGATACAGTGACTCATGCAAACTCTTGCGACACATTGTTTTATGTGATGCCGACGTGACTGAGCCACCAGTCGCGGAAGAGGTGTGAGGGTTTTTTGTTACTCTCAGTCCAGACCCCCCTCCCAAAAAAATGCAAAAATGTAAAAAAAAAAAAAAAACCTAGACCATTTCTGAAAGACTCAGTGACCGCCACATTACTGACTGACTTCAGAGTGTCATTACAAATCTAACCCCTAACGTTTATTCCGTAGTAGTGGGGACTAATTCAGGCCTGTTTCACAGTTCTTTCAGGGACAAGAAATGATGTGGGGATGCACGATCAAAACTTTTCACAACTTGGTTTGAGTTCTTGAAGATTTTCAGAATCAATTTTCCATGTAGCAGTGTTTTGACGGTCTGTTTTGGAATGTGTCCGTCCGGCGATGACCAAAGTACAATCATTTACAGGGTAGGTCTTTTCAGATTTCCCTGCTACTTGTACCCCTCAATCTCAGCAGAGTTTAATGTGTCTCCCGGATATATAGTCCAAGAACATCGGGCACATTTTTGAGTTTGGCCAATAATATTACAAGGAAGATAGACGTGGCTATGGACCTACGATGGCATTGCTTGTCCTGGTGGATGTTTGTGGCCAGCTCATTCCACTGGTAGATCCACAGGGAGATTCTTTGAAGGTTTATCGTTCCTCTCCAGGGTTGACAAAAAAATTCCCCCCCAGCCAAACCTGGACTTACCCCAGCCTGCACCCCCTCTGTAACTCCATATTTAAGTCCCTGAGCCAGGGCCTTGGACATTGACCTCTGACACGGTTTCTCAATCCCCACCGCAACCACCAAGGCAAGAAGCCAACCATAGCAATCGCATTACGGACCAGGATATATCCTAATCAGCCCCATTTCCCCCCACCCCTGGGGGGTCATTCCTCACCCAGTCTGAGGCATAAGGTGTCGCGGTGTGGATGGAGACTTCCTAGTCCATTTTCCGAGGCCTGTAGACCATCCTATTTTTTTTGTTTTTATTTTATAAGTTAAACTTCCCAAAAATGATGCAGAGTGGAAATATATACCTTTATGAATAACGTAATAAGCATAAATGGAATTATTGTCATTGTATTGCTTAGAATAAACCAATTCAGTATTTCAACAGGATAAGGCCAATTAGGATTAAAAAAAACACCTGACATCTCACCTGGTTGAACATGCTCAGTACGTGCAATCAATTCAGGAATCAAAACAAAGCCAATCAATAAGCATATTGATCATCTCCAATAATCAATATCTCCAATGTGCCTCATTGTTGGGCCGTTATGTTGGAATTCTGAACTGGTTAAGCGCTGACTGCATAGCAGAGGCAACTCAAATTACATGAACTGTTGATTAGGAAGCTAAACTTCAAGTATATATATATCTATTTTATGTATATGCGCTTGTACAGAGGTTTATTAAAACAGAATACGAGATGTGTACACAGGTTTTGTAAATATTTTCAGCTTATTAAAATATGTTGGATTACAGTCCAGAGAGTTACTTACCTATTGCACTGTGCAAAAATTTAAGTTAATGGTTTAATAAATTCTATAAACTCTTACTGGTTGACTATACATTGTGTACCAAGTGTGAGTCCATTTGTGTGAAACATGTTGGTGTTGTTAAGTGACAGAGTAGAGTGATGGTCCAAAAAAGATGGGGGGTGTTTATTTTGCAGATGCTTGCATTCTGCTTCCGTTTTTTGTCAAGAACGGAAGTATAGAAAAGGGTTGCGCTGGACCTTTGAAAGCTTTTTAGTTTTCATTTATATCTTGTAACTTTGCCACTTGGGTGCCAGTTTTGATAACTTTGAACTATAACCCTCAGGCATATCCTGACTATATCAAAATCCTCGATCCACATATTGACTGCAGCAAAGTGCCATATGGGTGTTTATGCATCCTTGGGGAGTGTGAGTAATCGTAAAAGGGTCTTAAATAGGACTCTCTGTTTCCTCTACTGTTTTATGAGGTCTGAAAATAGGACCCGCATCAGTCCTCTGTCCTATCTGTGTGGTCACTCGAGTGCCGGGGGGCATAGATTTGTCCAAGTGACCGAAATCGTGCCAGCCGATATGGTTTATACAACACGCTACAATCCACAGAGCTGTCATTCTGAATGTTGGGCTGAGCTTTTGACAAACTCCAAAGGGTGATGATGCAACCAGTCAAACTATTGCACATGGCACACGGGAAATTGTACGTTTGATACTTGATGTGCATCAAGACCGCATTTGATGTAGAGTTGATACATGTACCACGTGTCAGGTGTTTTGCCGGCCAGCAAGAAATGGGTGATGAAGAAAATAAGCTCTGAAGAGGTTGGGTTGAGAGAAGAGGAGAGGAGAGGAGAGGGGGCAAGTTGTACACCCATTTCTCTCTCCTACCTTCCAACAAAACAGGAAAAAAAACCACTTCCCTTTCACTCGAATCTCCTTTTTTCAGATCAATGGTTCTGGTTAATCCATCTCTACTAACTAATTCCCGAGTAAAAACTGTGCTCCTCTGAACTTAGAAAGTTACTCCTTTTTTCCAAACTATCATGATGACCCTGAAGCATGTCAAGCATACGAATAGAGGAAACTGTGGCTTGTAGCGGGTTTGATGCCATCGCACTGTGTTGTCACTGCCTTAGTGTTTACCTTGCAGAGCAAGAAAACCACAGACTACAACCTGTGGGACGTAGCGACGACAAACTTACAAGGTTAACTGATTGATAACTTTAAAGGGGTTGCTGAAGTACATTAGGATACTCTCTTGGTTACCGGGGAGAATATCAGGACCTGGGGTCCACACAGATACCCCAAAAGGGCCATCATTTCTCTCCTTAAAAAGTCTCATTCGTCATCGACTAGTACCACTAGTCACTTTCCTGAATGCCCGATGATGGCATCCAGTCTCTGACCACAAGTTGACAGAGCTCTTGAAAGTCTTGCTGTTGTCTTCCGCTCTCCGTTTCACCTTGCTTCACACATCCTCCCCTCAGTAAATGACAAGTCCAACAAACCGCAACACACCTCATCCCTCTTGATAAATGGAACACTTTGTGGAAGGTCTGAACACAAAGTTCTCCCTAGTTCATAGGGTTCAATGCTTTTTTTTCCAATCCCAAGTGTAAACGTGCTTTGATATTTCAGAGCTTTGAGGATTCCAGACTGTTTTCTAAACTTTTGGGGCGGGGCTTGGGAGTGCCAGGCCCAGAGCCTGTTCTGGTATGTGCTCTTAAAGGGAAATGGAAGATTTGAAATTAACAGAGGCAGGATGCCAAGTCATGCTCTGTGAGGGTTCGAGAGCATGACATGCCCCCATTCAGCACAGTTCAAAGCAGTCACACTGAAACCGACTTGACAGGTACCAGCAGGTAGTTCAATACAGGTTCGTGAAGCACCCCTTGAAACCTCAACAATTCCCACAGTGCACTTTTCAGTTGTCAGAGCCTCTCCAAATGTATTTTCTCTTTTCCTGCATGAGACGCAGCTTCAAGGAATGAGTGCGCAGCCACAGGGCAATGACGAGGGCAGTATTAATAGAAACCGCCGACCCAACCACAAAGATGGTCGCAAACGTACCCACAAACGGTATGCAGTTAAGCCCGAGATCCACCGCAGTTAATGAGGCCCAGGTACCGTTGCGGAAGACAGGGATGCGTAATGTTGGCTCCATCTCAAGCTGTGCAAGGTACTGGCTGTCAGACAAATGAAATGGGTCTACAAACAGGGCCAGTTTCAAACAGTTGGGATTTGTTCAGTGCCAGTGGGGGATTTTGTTGGCAAGGAATCCTGACCTGTCATGTGAGTGTGAGGTGCTGTACAGGACTGTTACCCTGGATGAAGATGTGATGGAGATGTGATGGGTTTCAAAAGTGTACCTACCCGTAACTTTCGCATGTTTCCTTCAGCTTGCAAAAAATAAGCTTCTGAAAGGTTGCCCTCCACACAGCCTGGTGCTTTCTCATGTAGTGCTCCATTCCATAGGAATCTGTATTGGGCCTTCCAGGAACAGAACAAATATGGCTACAAAGTGAAAAAGATGACTCATGTTAAAAGCCAGATGAAAAATCTGCATCTTTGAGCGACACAAACTTTACTAGTAAGGTGGCCTTGCATAAAGATGAGACGGAAAGATGCCATGTCAATCTGGAGTCACAAAAGCAATGTAACAGTACCTGACCTCGGAAGATTTCATTTCATGTGTGTCGTATGTGCCCACAGGTAGTGGAGATCTATTACATGAGCAAGGCACTAGACCCGGTGTGTCAAAGGTTGCATTACCTCAAGGTCTGGTATCCTGGTCCTCCTAGATAAAAAACTTCAGCAAGAGATGCTCAGTTGACTTGGAAATACTTCGACCAAGAACTGCCAACTTATTGGGTGTGAGACTCATTGATTTAAAGCCATTTTCATGTTCTTGTGGAATCGGCAAGTTTCAATTTGTTTACCTCCTGTCTAAAGAAAACGTAAATTTTTGTGACCAATAAATTTACAGGTCAAATTCATATGCTTCTGGTCAAATGTGTAACAGAACCTGTGGTGGTGTTAAACCATATTACTGCTTCATGGGTATTCATTAGGCAACTGCAGCATTTCATTGGTCCATTCCATGGACTCAACAGTGTGATACTTTTTAAATTATTTCCCCGTGTCATGTGCAAAACCAGAGACGAACTATCGCACCTGAGTTACAGCCTCAGACTTGTCTCAGTACAGCACAATCCTTCTTTTTTTTCAAACAAATGGCACGTTAACTTTCTGTTCATCTCCTTGAATTAAAATTAACGTTCAAGTTGATCCAAACACAGCGCAATCACAAACATACTGGAATGGACCAATGAAATACAGCAGCTGCCTAATTCACCTCGGGAGAAATCCTCTAAATCATCCTAACACCTCAGGGTCATTAGTTTTCACTATTTCCCCGAAAACCATGAAGTATTCCTATACTAAATAGCATAATACTTCACTGCACAATACTTCAAAGAACGACGACAAAGGAGAAAGAGAGAAAGACCTCCACTTTTCACTGTTCACAGTATAGATTTATTTAACAACCTACTTCATGGTCAGTAAGATGTTTCCAAATCTGGCTTCTATCCTCAGAGAAAAAGTACCATACTAGTACCTATCCTGCACAGAAGTACCTCAGCGTGCAGTTTCATCAGCAGTACATGGTTATGCTGTGGTATTTTCAACAAGTACTACTAACAACACAACCACATCAATGTAGTGTTTCTTGTTACTTAAACAGTGTTACATCAATGTAGCATTTACTTTAATGTAGTATTTAAAGTACTACTATAGTACTTTTCATAAGGGATTTTTATTTTTAAACCAGCTTACACAAGAAGTTCATTGATTCGTACACAGAAACCATCTGGTTTTTCTGATACATGTATTCAACATACACAAGGACAAGTACTGTATTACATACATACAACACTTCTGGTCACAGCTTTTCCCCTCTTTTTTTAACATATAGCCTGACAAGATCCACTTCAATGTTCTCCTTTGTGAACAGTTGTTTTCATAAAGCAAGATGACATGAACCAGGCTGGATATGAGAGCTACTTTCATGAAACAACCTCAATATATAAACAAGGTTTTTCAGAGCGGCCTTCACTGAAGACGGCTTAGGTCGATGGAAGAATGCCAGATAATCTCGAGTCAACCTGAGCTGAGGATCAGACCAGGCTAGTGGCAATGCCTCACATGGTCACATTTCAATAGGATAATCTCTGCAAATGGGCCATATTGGCCAATGTGGCCTCCAAAAAAGTGGCCAACGTCTTCACAGGACCCGGCTTTTTTTGGTAGCCTTAATTATACGCTTCACACTTTGGCCAGTCCTTCTGGAGGCTCCTTCCTTTGATTGTTGGCTACAACATCAACAAGCACAGTCGGAAAGGTTCCCCAAGATTAACTGCACTCTGGGAATGACAGCAGATCACCTGGCCAGAAGTGGCCTCTAAATGTGACCAGCATACATGTCTGTCATTTGCATGTTTAGAAAAGATAGTTCTTCAAGACATGGGTGGTCACAGAAATATAGTGGCCACTTTATTACACTGGCCTTAAAAAATCTGACTAAGCATGGAGACTTCCTTCGTGGAGAATCCCTACAAAATACCTCCTGACAAATGTGCACGAACAAACACTGCGGTTGAACCTCATTAATAAGAGTAGCGCTAGTTACTACAAGATTCTGCTTAAATCATGAAAATTTCAAGCTCCCAATCCTCTGTTTTTCATTGTTTTCATTCCTGATAATACAAGGTTCCCGTTATAACAAGGTCATTTGCCAAGTCCGAAGGACCTCTTATGAGTGAGGTTCGACGGTAGTTTGTTCAGGAAAGTATTGCCAATATTTTCAGAATCTGTGAAGAGGCACAATCACTGGCAAAACACTACTTTTTTCTATTAGACAACTTGAGTGATATCCATTTTGGGTTTCAATTGTCACATGCGTAGAACAATCAGAAGCAGCCATCTTGAAATGACTCTCAATGAAGCCCAAGAAAATACACCCTGGCAATGGAGGACCTGAAGCACCCTCCCGAGACAGTAACCATTTGGGGAGTGTCATGACCTTTCATCTTTTTTTTTTAAAGCTGTTTCACCACAAAGACACAGAGATTCGAGGGGCACTCTGCACTGGTTTCACTATGTGCTAATTTATATACAATTTACACAGGAAAAAAAAAATAGTAACAACTATCCATACTCAATTTCAGCCGAGTGCAGGCGGAAATAAACAAAATACAAAATATTCTGCCAACCAAAAGAAGATAATAACAACCTTGAGGCCTATCTTCTCAAACTGTGTGCATTATCTGTGAACCAAACTCACTGTTCAAGAATTCTTTTTGAATTTCGGCAAGAAGATGACTCCATTCAAAAAACACTTGAGCTTTGACAGAAAAATTCCCCTGAACCTCCTTTATCCAATGCTTGCCAATCTAAGTAGAAACAGAAACAAACATGTTCTTACACTGACACTGACATTCTGAGAAATGAAATGACAAAAGATCAGTAACTACTATGTTTCAGTAAAGACATTTTGAAATGATCGTCATGGGAGCTTACGGGAAATTTCTAATGCCTGACTGGCTATTGGCCACACCACCTGCTGAACTGGCTGTAAGCCAAGTGGGCTGCTGGCTAAAGCGGCTGCTGGCTACACTTGTTGCAGGCCAAACTGGCACCTGCCAATCCGGCCACAGGCCAAACTCACTGCTGGCTAATCTGGCTGCAGGCCAAACTGGCTACTTGCCAATCGGTCAAGTTAGTTTCAAGCCAATCATTCCACTAACAATGACCTCAATCAGCTAACTAATACATGCAAACAGTTTACTTTTCTCTTAATGGTCTCAAATATGTATCAATGAAGCCCTACCACAATGCAATGCAGGCAAAAGATGTTGTGTGAAATGGTGCGTTAACACTTTACTTGTCATTTATCGGACATCTTCATTGGATAATCTCAACATGAGAAGCTGAACAGACTAGGAAATACTCAATACTTTTCAATTTAAAAGTGGACTGGGGTACAACAATCCCAGCTTTCAGAAACTTTTGGGTCGCATAACTGACCCCGTTCTTCCATTTCTATACCCACAATGGAGATTTTTCCCACTGGATCTAGTTGTCATATCTCTTAAGTACAAGTTTATGCGTGAGTTTGGGGGGTCCATGACCAAAACATACTGGCACCCATCAGGACTGATCATCTTAGTAACATTATACATCCTGAAGTTAGGTAACCAGACCAAGATGGCCACAGCATCACCAAACATGCCAACATAACCCGAAGATGATTTCAATTGCTTCTGCTTCATAATTGATTACATGACGCAATCACAAGTGAGCATCAGATTGGATGTGGAGTTTTTATGCGGTTCAAGCTCCATCAATTTTAGGGTAAATCGGGAGGAATTCATAGGCCAGTAACCATAACAACCACAATCAGTAAAGACACCATCATTAAGTTGGCATAAATTCATTCTTTCTCAAATGATTTCGATCGGAAGACAATAAGCGAGTTTAAAAAAAAAAAAGTAATTGGCAACTCACTCCCACTCTTCAACATCCAACCCTGTGTTCAACAAAAATCCTGGCAACAGTTGCACCAACTTTTCAAATCTGTTTCTGGAATGAGCTTTGAGCTGAAAAATACATAATGCAACCTTCATCACTTTAACCCTTAAAGAGCCGGGTTGGGAGAATCTTCAACATTTTTCCCGATATCACAGCTGTGCATTTCTTTTCAGGAGTAGAGCCTTTATGAATTTTTGAGTAACTCTTGGCTGTCATTCCTCAAAATCAAAGATGCCCGTCTTTGTGCAGCGTGCATTTTTCCCAAGGCGGCTCAGTCAAAAATGTATACTCTTCCACTGCGGATCAACCCACTCTGGCTGGCACAAATGATGCCTTGAACTTCAAACGACCTTAACACCACAACCACATGTCTGACTGAGTTCAATACTTCACATTTGTAATGAAAAGGAGTGTCCTTTAGTTTCCAAGTTTCAAAAAAAGAGAGTGAGGCACAGCCGAGTTCTTGGGGGGAGGAAAGAATCCCCCTCCCCTGTGAGATGGCCAAAAATTACCCGGCTGTTTCAGGGTTAAAAGACTCTGTCAGCATCCACCCTCCACAAATAACATGTACATGTACAACTCCCTAGTGTGTCAAACAGAACCATACACTATCATTTGCTTTAAAAGTGAACATTTTGTTCCATCAATTTGCAGAGTCAGGAGCTCTGCCTATTTTAGTTGTTTGGAATGAGAAGAAAAATGTATTAACTGACTAAAAAAAATGTGCACAACAGGTATTGTCACAATTACATCACTTATCGTGAATTTCAAGGTTCCGTATACAACTGCAAATGGATAGAAACGGGCTTGCCGTATTGAAACAAGAATGAATCTTGCACACCAGTGGTCATACAAAAAAATAATAACTGGGCGAGATGCTAATAAACCTCTGCATTATACCCCTGCTTGGGTTGTCTGGCCCTTTAAATGTTCTCAAAGGGTCAATGGAAAAAAGCCACACTCACACCAAGTTGCCAAGAGACACATTTCAAATGAAGGTACCGAACATTACAGTTGTGGCTACAAAATTAATGCTGTACTATTTAATAATAATTAAAAAAAAATATCTAGTTCTGGTTCCACAACAATGACGATTACAAAGTGTTTTTCAAGTATATCTCCCTGGTTTGTTAGCTTTTTTCCCACAGAAAACAGGGTCCACAAATATCCCCCCAAAATATCAGGGGCATTTTAGAGTTGTTCACATTTTTAAACGGATTGTAATAATTACCACAAAAGTTTTTAATGTATCCTGTGGAAGGCCAACTCACACGATCGGTAATTATGTCCAGCCAAAAAGCCACAAATTTGCAGCCGTAATGAGAAAAAATGAGTTACAGGCATGGTTCACGCGATAATTTGCAAACGTGGACTTGTAAAAAACTGCAGGAAATACATTTTAAATAACTATTACCATCATATATATATATATGTATGTATATATAAAAACAAAGGACAGTCTTGCGTTTCATGACCACGCGCAGAAGGATCACTCTCGTCTTCAACAATGGCAGGTGTGAAACTCACGAGGGCGGTATTATAACACTTCAGTGCTGCAACCAAACAAGGGGCTGGGGGTGGCCACAATTCAGTTAATGCCAGGTTGATGTCAACATCACCACACAGTGGGGGATACATTGGACACGAGAGGGCAGCAGACATGTTTTGTGTGGAAATCACTGTACTGCCTGCAACTGCAAACGTGCCATGCCTTCTGTCACCTGTTCTGAGGACTTGTATTTTACTCCATGCTGGCAAATCAACGAGCAGTCCAACCTGTTCACTTCATTGGAATATCTTACAGTGATAAACTTGATCATAATTATTTCTCACCTTAAGATACCATTTGGCGATAATTTATTCCAACAGCTGAAATATCTACGCCTGTCATAGGCACTGCCATTTTCTGTACGCGACAGATTGCAAACACAGGGATTCTTCTTTGTTAAGCACAGAATGATGACAGCAGAGAACCAGTCTGTTCAGTCCACCGATGAAATCGGCCTTGAGTTTGAGGGAGGTTTTTATTCTTTGATGAAACTTCTCTCATGTCTAATGTTTGCATTCTGTGCACAAGATCAAGTAATTGTTTAAACGGGGCTGAATTTGGAAACTTTTGCAGGGAATAAGGATCTCCACTGTGACATGGAGGTACGTGTACGTTAAAGGACACCACGGCAGCTTTAACAGAAAATATCAGTATTGATCAGAAACTCCAGACTTTTGCAGGATTTGATGATTTCTTGGACACTTCGATGTATTTCCCTTATGAAATGTCCGAGGGCATGAAAAAGAGAATATAAGGACCTTTTCTAAAGTCGTTTTTCAAACTTGAAAAAAAAAAACATGCCCAACAGAATTCGTCAGCATAGGTTGGAGGAGTAATCGACATGCAGTGCACAATGAATTATTTTCTTGTTTACAGCACACACACACACACAGCCATTCACATATTTACCTCCTCTGCGTTGATGGATGGCAGAGCAATCCACCATGCAAAGATATGTTCAGGTCAATCGAGTACAGGTCGTACATTTTACAATGCACTTCCACTCTAACTCAAAGAGATATCCCTGTACGTCACAGCGAATTTTTTATACAAGCACCGTCACTTTCTTCTTTTTTTTTTTTAAAGTTCAATATTCAGTAGGTAGTCCTCAAGGTTAAAGGTCATATGCAAATGACCTCCAATGTCTGTAATATACGTTACATGTTGAACTGGGGGGTTATACATGTCCTTAAAAGTATTAATTTAGTAGTGGTTGTTCCGTACATGCATGGCTAGTGTGGGCCATGGTCATTGTACATACTGTTGGAGGCGCAGTTGGAGGCAGACTGTGTCACACCGTGTGCCGCACCATGAGATGCATTGTGTGACGCACCCGTTGTCATGCCTGCTGCTGCTGCCAGGGCGATGTCGAGTTCAGATCCGCAGTCCTCCATGGCTGTCGGAGAAGAATGTCCAAAAAAAAAAAGAATTTAACTTGCGACCAGTGTCTCAACATTTCTTGCTTTAAAACAAAGCCTCTTTCACTTCTAATACCACTCATGGAATCAGGCCACAATAGTAAAGACAACACTGCCGTCCAGCAACACGCTGGGCCAATTTCCGGAACAGAGGAACTCAAGTAACACTGCACAAAGGGGGCTCTTTACTGGGTGGCAGACCTGGCTGCAATACTCAATAATAGTACTGCAGGTCAATGGAGGTTGCCTGTCAGATTAAAGTCGCCACAAGACAGTCATTCGTTTGGGTGTACATGTCCAGTAAATGAAGATATGAATTTTTGAAGAATTTTGAAAACTGGATAATAATGAATAATCATGCATGCCGCTAAACTCCACCCGGCATGAAGTGGTTAAACCTAAGCCGTGCAGCAATGAAGACAGAAGACTGCAGGCAAATGCTGGACAAAGTTGGATTAACAATCACTGGCCATTGGTTGATTCATGGTGTACGCTGACCCTGCACAAATTTGGACATTAAACAACAGAAAGTACTACATGCATGTGCTGTGATAAGCAAAGTTACGAGAAGAACTCCGTAGTCGACCATCACGTTTTTGAGTGTCTTTAACACCAAGAAGTTTTTGAAACAAAAAAAATTAAGAGTGACTTTCCTAGATGCTGAAGGCATCAAGGAGAGAACACTTCAACCAAACAAATCACACCCTGAATTTCTTTACTTACAATCAGATTCTCTGCAGTTTTCTGCGCCGACGTAGACCCCATTTTTACACATATATGACATGACCTCCTGGTATATAAGGGCTAGTCACAAAGAAAAAAAAGAGGACAAACGTCATTCAAACTCATTCACACGGTCATGACAGACAGGATCATCATACAGTGGCATAACTGGGGTACATTTGTAGGGAGCACTTGGGGGAGGGGGGCTCTCATCTTCTGGAGGAGACCACTCAATGGGTTTTGGTCACAGGTGGAACACTGACAGAGACGGACTTTCACCAGATTTTTATATCAAACTTCTGAGCGGGCAGGTGTAATGAAGAAAGCAGGCCTTGAGTGGAGGGGGCTGTGATGACTAATCTCCCCCCAGTATCTGACCATACACCATGCAATGAGATTATTCTACTCCACCTGGTTCATGATGAACAACCACTGCAGTACTGTACCCGTGGCTACCATAATGCCATGGACAACCACCATAAGACTATACCCATGGCTACCACGGTGCCATGGATAACCACCATAAGACTATACCTATGGCTACCATGGTGCCATGGATAACCACCATAAGACTATACCCATGGCTACCATGGTGCCATGGATAACCACCATAAGACTATACCCGTGGCTACCATGGTGCCATGGATAACCACCATAAGACTATACCTATGGCTACCGCGGTGCCATGGACAACCACCATAAGACTATACCCATGGCTACCCATAGTGCCATGGACAACCACCATAAGACTATACCCATGGCTACCCATAGTGCCATGGACAACCACCATAGGATTACACGTATGCCAACGGCAACCATGACACTTTAATCTCTGTGCACAACAGCGTCTGTCCTGACAGCAAGTGGAAACCACATTACAAGCAGATTCACAGACGCAATAAGCCTGAGAACATATATTGATCATTCCCATTCAAATAAACTGGTGATGTCATTGGAAAGGGCTCTTGTGAACAGACTACACAGCGCCCTCAGTGGTCTAGGTACAGACTGTATGGGACAACGCCTTACTCATTTACCTTTCCACTGCTCCACGGTGTGTTCTCTCTCATCTATTGAGTGGTCGTAAGTGATAGGCACCGGCTGAATAAGGAGCCAAAAAAACCAAATAAACGAGAACTTTTCTATTTTTCTGCAAACTTTACACAAGAGATACGGTACAAATGCAATACTGACATTTGCACCTTCTACCCCACAGACACTTTTTTGAGGGAGAGGGTGGGTCATCTCGCAGCTTTGGGTAGGGGACGGGGATTCTCCCATTCTCAGCTATTCCATGCCTGATCTTTTTGAAACATAGCACGCATGACAAGAAATTAATTATGAGAACACTTGAGAAGTTTTAATGTGATCAAATGCAGCCTTCTGTTGCTACGGTCAGCCAGAGGTACATGCACTTCTACTCAATCAATGTGGAGATGGAAAAGCCATTAACCCTCCTATGGTTTTACAGCACAAATGTGCACAAATGCCCACAGTCACTGGTCAGCATGTAGTTTCTATATGGAACACAAACATGCACAGGTTCAGTGTGTACACAGTAGGTTGTCAGCACAAAATGACCCAGGGTCTTTTGTGCAGTCCTCTTCACAATTATGCACATGAAACAGTGAAGCACAGTTCTTGGGCAGCACAAAAGTGCAATCTGATATTCCTGTGAGGGACTGTTGGTGCAGTGCACAACACAACACAGCTGTGCTTCTTTGAGGTGTTTACCAAATGACCCAAAGAGTGACTTCAGCATAGGAGGGTTAAAGACCATACCATGAGGAAGATTCAAGCTCACACCGTACTTTAGAATCACAGCCCATAAACCAGATTTCTTGAACTGGCCTAATGCAGAATTTCCAGGAATCTCCCTCTCCGGGATTATATTTCAGTTCTTCCAGATGGTGCTCTGTCTCGTCCCGTCCACTTCCTCCGAGGGGACAGACAATGGGGTGCACAGCACGCCGGCATTAAAGCCGACGCCCTGTGATCTAGAAGTCCACTCCCTAAAACCTTTTCTAGCCAGCAACTATGACCCACTCGTCTACCTACTGACGTCACATGGCAAAGATTGAATTTCTCACGGACATCTGGGCTGAATTGGAACAGCTTTCCCAAATCGGAATTACGCAGATCAGCCGCTGATGCCAGGGTGATTTGAGAAAAACGAGATGGGTGATAGCATCAAGGCAGACAGCTGAAGCAGGAATTGCCCCAAACCCTGGGCTCGGGAAATTATCTCCACTACAAAGACTTTCTAAAAAGCAGGTCAGGGGCAACAACTTCGGAAATCCTGCCAGTGGTTTCCTCTGAGTGGCAAAAAATGTCTGAATTGCTACGTGCCTTTCCAAGACAAATTTTGAAATTCAGCAAGGAAGCACATGACTGTGACTGCAAGAACATTTTGACCGTAAAACACCTGGGATTTGGTTCGGAAGTTGTTCCAAATCTTCCTGTAAAGCTTTGAAGACTAGTCAAATCTTAGATAAGCACCCAAGTAGGACTACTCGCACCCTCTCAACACCCCTACAGGGAAGGCCAAACCTTTTACATGTACATACCCCTTCCACTTCTGCCGGGTCGTACCATACATTGATATAGGGGTGTTCCAGGGCTTCGTCTACCGATATTCTCTCCGCTGGGTCTATTACTAGCATCCTGGACAACAATTTCCTTGCCATGTTGGCTGTAAAATGAAAACAAATTGAAATGATCAAATCTTTGCCATTGGTGAATTTCGTTACTATGCAAAAAGTGAAATCTCCACAATGAAAAGTTACTGTCTTTATTCCTGTCCACAACCTGTTGAAAGCACAAAGAACTTATTGGTCTGTACTTTCCTGTTAACCCCAGCTGTATTCACAAGATACACTGTACTGTTTAATTTCTTTCCCACAGTATGTAAAGTGTCCCCAAATTTTGGCCAACAAATATTTGCAAGAAGCAATCGCCAATTTCTTGGACGTAGCAAAAAAGTTTCAACATCCCTCCCCCTGAAAAGTTCCAATAACAGAGGATGAATCTGAATGCAGGCATTAAAGAGGTCTTTACCGTTCAATTTCTGAGGTTCCGTCAAGCTCTGCTCCCGCTGGAACAGCTCATTCGGGAAGAGAGATTCGAAGGCGTGACCTTGGTACTTGGGCCTGTTCTCCACGTAAGTACGGACGGTGGGCTGCAAGCGCTGCATGAATTTCTGCGAGGGACTGCCCAGGAGTTGAATGATCTTGTTCCACTGGTCGATGTCTACAGTTGGCAAGTGGGGGACAGGGGGTCAAGGAAACCAAGGACAGACTGGGAACCAGCTCATTGGAACTCCTCTGTATCAGTATTGTAGTAGAGGCCATGACAAGACTAGACACCAGACCAGTATATGAGACCAGTATACAAGACCATGCACAAGACCAGTCACAAGTGACAGGGCAAACAATGACAAAGGAATGCTTTTGTCGCAGTTCATTTGAATAGCTTGTGACTTGAATTCAGACTGAAGGTCTTGTGAAGGTCCTAAGAGGTGTCAACTACAACACTGCTCTGTGTCCTGCACTGTAAATGATACTGCCATCAAACTTAAGCTTTAGCAGAATTGATTTTCGTTCCTTGTTTTTACAAGGAACATGGGCATTGTCAAAATTTTTTTTTCCAATGAGGTGAACTCACCAGCAGTAAAAGACAAAGCAGAAGCTGTGGAATAAATCCAAGAGATGGGGGGGGCCTTCCAAATTTCCTATAAATTTTATCAATCGCTACAGGCTACAGATTAGGGCGTCCTCATGTGTACTTCATTTGATGGTTCTGGTATTTTTATGAACTTGAAAGAGGGTCGCTTGGGGTTAAAAACTGTCTGGAAATTCCAGACAGGATTGTGGCATACAAAAAGGCCTTTGTTTCTTCTTTTTTGGGGGCGGGGGACCAAGGGAGGCCACAAAAATAAGGGGGGAGGCAGAAATGAGAACTACTAAATTACCTAGTTTGACCATGTATGGACCTCTCTGGGTCCCTTTTCAATTTCATTTACATGTTGACCAGTACTGACTCCGCTTTCAGTCTTTGGCCATATTTGTACACATGGATCTGGATCACAATCAGTGATCTGTAAGATCACTGATCATTGGTTTACAGACACCAAAACTTGCCTAATGGATAATACAAACCAGTGCTAGGATCACTGATCACGATCCAGATCCCTGTGAAACAAACGGGCCCCCTTTCCCTTATTCTTGCATCCCCTTGCAACCTCAATGACTGCGAAAACAAAGGAGGGGAGCGCAATACCTTTGCCTGGTGGACAAAAGCTTGCCGAGTGAAGATTTCTTCCTCACAGAATGTAGCGGCAAGGATTTGTAAAGTTGCACTCCCCCCTCTTCTGAGATTCGGCCAAGAAGAACTTACAAGGGAAGCTACTAGCTGTGAGTTTGGTCTGGTGAGTTTCCATGGGTGTAGTTCCCCACCCCTTCCCCTCCCCCTTCACCTCCCGATGCGAGTTACAGTTGTTGAGCATTCTCATCATCCATTCTTTTGAGTTTGTTCCATCATGCTGCTGACGGAGAAAAGCAGCCTGCTTCCAAAAAAGCTGCTGAATCCAGTGACATTTTTCTGCTTAGAAATTGAAAGGCCTTGAACCTCTACCAACAAAGCAAATAAAAACCATGAAATTCGAAGTAAAGTTTGAAAGGATACGATCCATTCCTGGGAACATCACTTGGCCGCGAATCATCTCGCCAAATATACAACCAATCGACCAGATATCAACTGAAAGGAAGAAAAACAACAAAAATCATCAAAGTCATTCAGTGCGTCAAGTATCAAAAAAAAACCAAAAAACTAAAATACAACTGTTTTTCAAATTCTCAAACACAGGTCTCATTTTTTCTTTATCCATTGTTTTTATATTCGCATGTCTTGTTGTCTTAATAAAGAACTTGTTACATACAAGGACTTCAAGGCATTCTGTAAATATACTTTTGTTATCTTTCTTTTTTTTGCTGTAAAAATTCTGTGCAAAACTTCCTTTTATTAAACGAAAATTTGTTGGAACGACATGAAATTAGGAAGTAATCGTAGAGGAAGATTTCATGCAATATACAAATGGAACCACTTTCTCATTGTGGAAGAAAAATGACGTTATGCTAATCAAACATGATTCTAACCAGTTTGATTGACCATCTCTGAAACTGTTCAAGTGAAATGAAAACGTCAGTGCTTATCAATATTAAGATGAATTGCTTCTCTGCCTTATCTGCAAGACTTCTATCTCTCCTTCGCATAAATAGGTGAACTTGTTTTTGTAAGAGCATCCCCAGGGATGAAATACTTAGATAAATTTGTTAAATGTAGGGGACTCAAAAAGTAACCACTCAGACCAATACTTTTCATTTCATTACTTCCCTAGGACAAGACAAAGTTACTCTGGAAAATAAATGTTCAAAAGTACACTTGTAATCACTATGTAGTTTAAAAAATTGGGGCTGGGGTATTTTAGGAACACTCATCTTTATAATACTCGGCCAATAATCTGAATGCATGATAAATCTTTTGCTCCGGCTGGGAGATATGTGTTGCACTTGTTCAGTAAAGCCTGGAACTAAGAAGTTCACTGTGTGACTAGTTCTTTCACTATAGGCAGGAAATCCCGACCCATGGACCTTAGACCGTAAATAAAAAAGTCAACCCCCAACCCCCCCCCAAAAAATCAACTGAATTCCTAACTTTCATGAAATTACTTTCTTATTGTGATTCTGAATCTGTCCCCAAAGTTTTGGAATTTTGAGTCAAAAATTGCAACCTGCTTTTGTACCAATCTACTCTCTAATGAGAACATAGTGAAATCAAAAACACCGACACAGGGAAAAAAAAAAACCATGTGAGTTCACTTCCAACATAAGGTTCCCATACTTTGGTTAACCAACCCTTTCTGAAAAAGTAACCACAGCCTTCTTCAATTAAAAAGATAAAACAAATTAAGGAAATTTAGGATAAGACAAAAAAGACCCTAGCTAGCTTGATTCGAAGCCTGAGAGATTGCTGCTGCCAGTGCAGTGACCTCAGCTGGCCTAGATGCCAAGAGCCCCGTCGGAAGGAGACGGCAAATTAAGGCCAGTTTTGGATGACTTCCGTTTCAGATTACTGAATCAACTTGTAACCCTGTCCTATTAGTCTCCCCCCCCTCCCTTCCACTCTGCCTTGGCAGGCACTGACGTGGTGGGAAGAAGGTGGGGGGGGGAGGGGACAGAGAGGGGGAAGAGGAGGGGAAATGTCTGTGGCTGAGCAAACTAGAGTTAACAACTTTCTAGACAAGCTGATTGCAATCTAGGCTGAACTCGGTGGTTTTTTTTTTTTTTTTTTTGCCCTTTTGTGTAGTTGAGAACAGGTGGCACAGTTTGCGGGTGACAAAATACCCTGGTTGTAAATAGGGTCACCTGTGCTTCCATCACAAGAAACCTCAAAGTTTGAAGGGGGGAAACAGTCAGGGATGGTCAGGCCTCTCTATCGAAGTTTCTACCAGTCGTGCAATACCGTGAACATGGTAAGCTAATTTGTGGGAAACTTTTTTTTTTTGGTACTGAAGAGTTGGAGGGATGCCAGAGGGGGGAAAAAACAGGGAAAAAAAGCCAAATAAAAATTACCAGTGAAAGAAAACCTGCCAAAATTAAACGTTTGATTGAAGTCTGACAACCTTGATTTCCACAAAACTGTTGCCTGTCAGTTTCAAGCCTTTTACAATTACGGGTATCTCTGCATACATGAATCAAAGTCACTATTTCCTTCATTTGTATATTTCAGCCACACATGTCCCAGGTTTGGTATTGTCCGAGCACTCACACTTTTGCTGTGATTGGTACATGTACCTACACTGCAAGTGTAATAGGGGACTTAAGATAAAGTGGAACAGTAGACAGACACACTTTGCTCGTCGAGGGCACATCTTCACGTCTGAAATCCACTTCAACCACTTATTTTTCTACTCACCATTTTCTTTATAGCCCATGCCTAGAATGACTTCTGGTGCTCTGTAATATCTAGTGACTACGTAGGGGGTCATCATAAATGTCGTGCCAGCCGTGCGGGCTAGGCCGAAATCCAGAATCTTCAGTGAACAATCCGACTTGACAACTATGTTGCTAGGTTTTAAATCCTGACAAAACACACAACAGATCAAAGTGAGGAGAATACAGGAAATGATTCATAAAAAAACTATCACTGAATGGGCTGTTCACAGGCATGCAAGTTATGAAAGCTGTGGGGTCGCAGGACTTTTTTCTTTTACTACAAGGGGACAAACTCAAAAGAGAACAATTCCAGGAGGAAAACTCAGGGATGCTTACTCAAACACTCTGTTTGACAAACATTTTTCTGACTTAAAACTGTTTACTGTAACTTCATTATGATCTTGTCACTATAAATGGATGTTCCAGTGTTAAGCCTGGTTTCCATATCAACATAAGAAATGCAGGGAGCAACGCAATCAAGACGCAAACTGCAATGTAGACATATGGAAACATGTCAAACGGAAGTATCGCCGATAACACAAACCAGCCCCAGACGGATCGTCAAAGTTCAGCTTGGTTCAACACTGCTGACTCTCTGTGTTGAGTAGCTCAGTGGGCTGGCATGACGGTTGAACAATGGTGTTTCTCTCGCTTAGCATCACTCATTTTGTGCATATGCAGGCCAAATTGTCAACAAATTAGCTGACCACTGACAAATTAAATCAAACTGGAGTATCAGTTTGGCTTCAAGAGGAAACATTGCCACCTAAAAAAAGCATTTTGGGGAAAATGTTCCGAGTTTTGGGTGCCATTTTGTTTAATTTTTGGTTGGAATGACGCTGTGTGGCGTCTCTTCCGTGACTGTCTGCATCTTGCCGTATTGTGGACCGTCTGTGTTACAAATGACCATATGGAAACCAGGCTTCACATATAAATTATACAGACACTACAGTACTACAGCAATATCCAACAACTTATGAGTAAATGTAGACGGTATTTTTCAACAGTAACACTATCATCTTGATATTCAAAGTCATCACAGCCTGACTTTACAGAGCTGGGACCAATGTGGTGTGGCTGCAAAACTCAGAAACTTGCTGAGCACAGAAAACATCTGCAAAGCAACACACAGGCTACCAACCAAAAACCATTTATGTATATTGCACATGACTGGCGCTCTGCTAATTTCTGCTCAGCATGTGATTCTACGTACCTGAATACAGTTAAGGCAGTGACATAGCAACTTTACGTGATAAACAAAAGTAAACCCATCAGATCAGTCATATGTCCTCCATTACTTTGGCTGGTGACTTGGTTTTTAAGCCAGGCAAAATCTTGTGTTTTAACAACATGGACCGTGTTTGATTTTAACAGGAAATGGCGCAGGAAAAACATCCACTGACTATGGCTGAGCTGCTAGCCACTGGCTTTTATAGCTGACTGACTATGGCTACAGCCACTAGCCACTGGCTTTTATAGCTGACTGACTATGGCTGCAGCCACTAGCCACTGGCTTTTATAGGTGACTGACTATGGCTGCAGCTGCTAGCCACTGGCTTTTATAGGTGACTGACTATGGCTGCAGCTGCTAACCACTGGCTTTTATAGGTGACCGACTATGGCTGCAGCCACTAGCCACTGGCTTCTATAGGTGACTGACTATGGCTGCCACTAGCCACTACTTTTTATTGGTGTACGTAATTCCAAGCCAGAGCTACAATAATCAGACTTTTCTTGTCTTGTTTAACCAGGGTAGCCCATCAGTTATCAAGTGGTAAGCCCCCCAACGTGAACTCAACCTCTCGACTCCTTCCTGAACTCTCAACCCAATCCCGACCTACTGACCTCCCCTTCTGAACTTTTCACCTCCATCCCGACACACCCACTCCCCTGCCACTCACCCTATGGATGATCCCTGCAGAGTGTAAGTGTTTGATGCCGCACAGCATCTGGTAGAGGAGATAGGACAGCCGCTCATGGTCCAGGTCCATCTGGATGACCTGGCTCAGGCTAGCATCCATCAACTCCATCACCAGGTACACGTCGCTGAACTCATCGAATGTGTTTTGTGGCGAGAAAACATTTAGGAGGCCGATAATCTGGGCGCAACAAAAAAGCAGGAATGAAAGTGGAACTGACAACAGAGTTTAATAAGCCTTGCACTGAGGGTAATTGACAACAGAGTTTAATAAGCCTTGCACTGAGGGTAATTGACAACAGAGTTTAATATGCCTTGCACTGAGGGTAGTTGACAACAGAGTTTAATATGCCTTGCTTTGAGGGTAGTTGACAACAGAGTTTCATAAGCCTTGCACTGAGGGTAGTCAGTTTTCCTAAGTTTTCACAAGCAAACAAACCATAATAATGCGGAATGGTGTTAAGATAATACTGATGGTAATAAATCAACTGCTTGGATGGAAAGAATTGCAAGTGTTGGATTTGGAAGAGTTGGACTTGCTTCTATGAACAGTAATCAAGTAACAGTATAGAAAATTTGAGATTGTGTAAACTAGCAGATTAACCAATCTTTGGGAAGGAATTAAATTGTTAAAACTGTATAATGATATGTACATGTAGGTTTACAAATAGTGAGCCCTGAGCAACTGGCTTACTTGAGGTTAAATAAAAACAGGTGATCAATTATCTAACTGGCCTTTAACAGCGACCTGATGAAAGCATAACATTTGAATACACAAGGAAAGAGGGGCCAGTGACAAAGTCAGCAATGACTTTGAAACTGCGCGTGGCCTGCATGATTTCCAACCACAGAACAGAACTATAAGTAGCTTTCCTGCTTTGCGGTGAATCGGTAACATGTTCACGACATGCCAGGCACTAACACTTCCTGAGTAAAAAAGATTTTCGCTATGCACATAAAATTTTTCAACCTCCAAATATGGCATATGACTGCACTGTAAGAATAAGCCAACCTCAGTACCACACTTCACGCCTGGTACGTCAACAAGATATTCAATAGTTATCATTCTGGTGTCTTAAGTAACACACATTCAAACGTGTAGTCTCTATACCTGTGAACATGTGGTACTAGACCCTCTCAAGTAACTACATATACATGCATGTAAGGCCCAGTCCGCCGTCCAAAGCACACGGCTATGGCTGACAAAGCTGCACAAGCAAAGTTAGCTGGCCACAACCTTTGGCATTGCCCATTATCATGTGAAGCACCGACAGAATCAAACCGAAGTCCAAGAACAAGTGAAAGAACACGGTGCATCAGGAATCATTCTGCAAGAGACTCGCCAAGGGCACTGGATCAACCAGGAGCCACTAGACTGACTTACGTTTTTATGATTGCACGTCTTCATGAGTAAGAGTTTTTGGTACGCCCTCTTGGCGTGGGCACTGGATCACCCAGGAGCCATTAGAGTGACTTACGTTTTTATGATTGCACGTCTTCATGAGTAAGAGTTCTCGGTACGCCCTCTTGGCATGGGTGACATTCTGGAACGGTCGACTTAACTTCTTTATTGCAACGTTCTGCTTTGTTACAGTGTCGTAGGCAGCTCTGCATATCAAAAGGAGAGAAAAAAGTTACTAATTGTTACTTTACAATCTCTGCTGTGTTCGAAATGCACCTGCCCAGAAGAAGATAACTTTTATTTTGGTCACTAAAAAACACTTTCGAAATTACTTTTAATCCAAGCAAAAAGAAAAACAGAAACTGCCATTCCCACAAAAGAAGGAAGCTAACATAACACCTAAAACCATGACACTGTCCAAAAGCTTTGAAAGTTTGTACCTTCTTTAGAACAAATAAACATACCTCTCAATTTCACAACTGATGAGGTATATAGGATGACTTGCCCAACCTGAATGAAGGGAAATCCCAAACTGGAATTGACATCTATTTATCCGGTTTTGTCATAAGGCAGTTGTACAAGACAGCTATATGTAGAAGCCACTAAACCTTTGAACGCATAAATTACAGACACTTCATTCTGAATAGGGACTGATTTTACGGCACTTTTCTTTCCAGGTCGTGAAATTTTGCTCAGGTCAGCACAATCCTTGACTTCTTCCCTTCGCTACAAAAACATCCTGGTTTCATTTCTCCTCAGTCAACGATTCAAAGTTTCTGTTCGTTACCAGTTACCATAACAGACCAGGCCTACAGAAAGACACACACGACCGTTTCCAGGAATAACAGCAGTGCGTGAATCATTAAAGTGACAATTACAGAAGATAGTTGTGTTTGATATTCTTCATGTAACTCTGCTGTGCTTTGGGGGAAACCGGCGCATGAGTCATTTAGGCAAATTGATCTGAACTATGATACGCGGGTGACTAATTTTAAGTATGCAGAATCCGGTGTGCGGCTTCAGCTTTCAAACTAAACACAAGTTCGGCAGGTCGCTGTAAATCCTGTTTACATAACCAAGAGCAAAACAAGAAGTAATCAGGCTGCAGCTTATAATCAATGTGTACTACGGGGACCAGAAATTTAACCAGAAGTTTCCCTTGGAATATCTGTCCAGGGATTTCCTCTCACTTCAAAAAATTAACATTTCTTCATTGTTTTCTCTCAAAAGGGTTTCTTCGGGCAAGAGAGCTACATGCACAGTGTCATGGATACAATTGTAGGATTGTTCTTTTCATTACCAATAACGTAGCCTACCCATGTAATGGCTACTTAAAGCTCCAGCCATACTCGGCCCCTTAAGTGGGAATCGAACCAGGGACCATCAGTTAAACACTCAATTGCTTCGTCTTGAAACCCAATTCATCTACGTGTACTTACACCACCAGCCCCTGCGCACCCGACCCCACCGATCGCAGGCTCTGGTAGCGTTTCAGGATGAGGAAGTGCGTGTCGCCGACGTCCACGCTGTTGAACTGGCTCAGGAACTTGGCCTGACAGCTGCTACCGCCACCGGGCTTCATTGCAGAGGGTGCAGGGGGCATCTTCTGTTGAGAATGCGCCATTCTCTGCCGGACGGGGAAACAAAAATTCAAAGTGCCAATGAACTGACCACAGGGTAGGTCTTGGAGCGTGATTTTAAGGCTGAATGAGTCCCAATAATTGAATATTCAAAACAGCGACCTTTCAATCAATACAACTTTTAAACATCATATCGTACCAAACTCCTACAAAAGCAGTGCAAGTGCCCCCCCCCCAAAATGTCATCAATGCCTGGAGCCAACAGATTAATCCTGGAACCAGAATGACGAAGAAGACACTCATGCACAGGTGGTATGCACACTTTTTAATACCTTTTCAACCAATAGAGGTATTGCCCGTACAATATGAACGGGCCTTGAGTTTACGCGCGATCGTAGCATTGGATTATTAGATGCAGTCATCTAGTGTCTAGTTTTCCCTGATTGCTATCTCTTTGAAAAAAAAAAAAACGGAAAAGAAAAAAGCAAGGAAAAAAGCATTCCCTAGAGCAACCATTTGGATACGTTTTCATCTTGCCACACCTGTGCAGTAACCCCTTTTTTCTCCCCAAGAGTACGCAGCTTTGGCTTCCAAAACTTACATATTGCCTATCGTTCATGCTACAGACAGAGGCGTCTGTGCTGAGTGAATCTGTCTCCTCACCAGAAGACACTAATACAGATCGGGACAGATCCTGCAGGCAAAGCAACCAAAGGGGAAAAGATCATAGATAAAATAAGGTATAAAATAATCACATGAGGTCAAGATCATTCACAGGATCAGGGTACATTAAACCCATCCTGGATATCACTATCTGGCAACAAGGGGTACATCTAATCAGTTTGTTTACCGGCAGAGTGTTCACGTCTTGCATGTTATTGCAAAGTGACCTTCAAATCTGAGCGTCCCTGAACCGATCACAGACTAACACTGGTTAGCTTCACAGTACAGTGGTTTGTTCAGCCCCCAAAAGCATTCAAATGTGGTTACATGTAATTTTAACTCCAAAGAACATATTGCACGGATGCATGCAATGAACACTGTTTGCATGTTTTGTGTGTGGGTGTGTTTACAAGAAATTCCTTTTCTCATTGTTGGTATTTGCTGTACAACAAAGTAGGGCTGCGCCAAATATCCCAATATTCCATCAATTATCAAATGTTCGAATAATACTTTCCGAGTTTGATTATTCAAATGTAAAATTCATGAAAAGGACGAGAGAATTTTCTTCTGTTTTAAATGAGAAATGTCTACTTGTGTGCAATATTGCAACTGATTTTGTATATATTTTGCTCAGCAACAATCTGCCGGTTGGTACGACCAAATATTTGAATATTCAATCGAATTGAAAGGCAAATATACGAATAGTAAATTATTCCAATTGACTCAGCCCTACAAGTACAACAAAGTTTGGGTAAGGTTAAACAGTACAGAATAATGGTCTTTCTTGACTCTAAAATGCAACTCAAAATATATATTTAATACCAAATTCAAAATGGTACGGATAAAAATGAACTCATTACCTCCACTGGACATGTAATACACATGGACCGATGTTGAAAAAAAAAAAATCTTTAACATACCACGTTTCTTTCATATGCACAGTACATGTTTAATTATGTACAGTATACGGTGCACTGTGCATACGTGTACACGTTCACAGGCTTCTAATTCAAAATGTGTGGTTCATTACTTATGTCCAACTTGTATGCACAGTATGCTTGACACTAAGTTGCCATATATCCATGTCAAACCACAGAGCATGTGCATTAAGTGGAGGAAAAAACAGAGGGAGTACAGAGGCCTTTCCACCGATCACTGATGCAGGCTGGGCCCGCTGAATCAAGCATGAATCAGACCTTCACGCCATTACTCAGTCTGTGTCATGCCTTTCTACCCACCACCACGCAGGCTGTGATGACCAACCATTCACATTAGCTGGACCATTACCGGCAATGCACGCACACGTAAAGCCAGTCAACGTATATTTGTACTTGAGTAGGCTCTCATGAATCTGCAGACGCACACAGCTAGTGATGTACAGAGTACATGTATTCATCAATACAACACGCTGTCAAATCAATGCCAAATATACACTGTACACAAACAGGTATGTGTGTACAAAACACATTTATGCTTTTACACTTCAGACATGTACACAGATGACTCGCCCTGATAAGTACAGCCCACATCATCCTTTTATAAGGCAATTACAAATTAACTGGTAAAAGGCCACTTGACTTGAAATGACCTCTTCTCTGTGCTCACGATGGTTGATAAACATCTCAGAGAACACATAATGCTAATTCAGTTTGAGAGTAAAAAGGTAAGTCATACACAATGCAACCAAAAATTTAAAAATACGTCAACAAGACGGAATTCAGACACATGGTAATGCGGTCCACATGTGCACATACAGTGTACCATACAACATGTACATGTACATGTCTTGCAGGTGCAAATTCCAACGGACATGGGTTTTTCCTACCGAGTTTCGTTTATGATTCAGCTAGAAACAACATGCAAGGGTAAATCCTGGTATTCACAACATTCACAATGTCAGATAGAATACTAGAGCCTGAACTGCGATGAAGTACATGTATGTTTCACATGTACCGGTATATCTGTGAGTAAAATTTGGAACAGCACTGCGTCTTTATCCATTACATGTACAGAAGGCCTATGCCTGATTGAGTGTATAATGTACATGTACTATGAAAAGTATTTTGTTAGCAGATTTAGAAACTCAATGCATGGCAGGGCCATTATAACATTACCTAACATAATGCCCATTTCTACGATCCAGACTCCTCCAGTGTCTAGCCATTTGCAAAAATGGAATCCCGCATAGTTATTGATTTAATATTGAGGGCCTGTTTGTTTCACATGGATCTGGATCACGATCAGTGATCCAAAGTTGATTCACTGACACACAAGCCCACCTATTTGACAGAGTGAACCAGCGTTGGGATCACAGATCGAGACCCGTGTGAAACAACGGGCCTCGTATCACATAAAAATGCACTGATACATTGAGCATGCCTCGCTTGTCTTCTCCCGGTACTTGCACCTTTCAACTTTACGACCGTGTCAAATTAAAAAACAAGCGAGCCAACAGGCTGCCATCTTGTCTTATCTGCAGGAAGTTATACCCAGCTCAAGGTTCGCACCATTTCCACCTATAGACAATTTCTTGTTAAACAAAAACGCTCAGTCAATAGTGCAAGAGGAAACATACTTCTCGAAGTACAATGTGCATAATGAACCCGTGTATGTGCTTGATAATACACCGTGACAATGCTGGTAGAGTGAACACGTATACCCGGAAAATGAAACCTGAGGTAACCTTGCCTCGGCTTACAAGTTTTTACAACAAGCACAACATGTACATGCTGAGCCTGTTCATTTGAAAATCTGTATAACAGTTTTATACCTGAGAACGATAGGATGTTTTTAAATGTAAATTGACTTCTGTCCCACAAGGAGTTTACAATTTCTGTCTGAGATGTGTATTTGAACAGGAAAGTCTCAAAAGTATCATTTTTGTTCATGTACTTATACACACATGTACAGGAACATGTATGCGCCTTGAGCAGAAGCACACCCTCATTGGTTGAAAAGAGCCATGTTGGTCAGGAGTGTTCAATTTGTTGGTAGCGATGCCACCGTAATGTGTGCATTTCGTACTTGTTTGTGACCCAGCAAAGTTCAGTTCTAACCCAAAGAGCCTTTGTTGCTAAGAAAATAGCGCCCTCTGCCCATACACACAGTACATGTATGCAATGACACTGTGCCAGGATTTTTAAACTGTACCAAGCTCGTCTTTCCGTCCCACTTCAAAATTTGGTATACTTGACAGAGAACAGCACCGTAGATGCAATTAGGATTGTGTGGGAGAACAGGTGGAAAGTGTGGCTGGTTTGCCGTCGGTGTGACATCAGGGGTCAAACCGTCCATCTAATCAGTGTAAAGGGAAAACTAGATGGAAACACTGACAAACAATTTCTCTTGACCAAGAATCCCTCTCCTGCCTGGAACAACTGGATAATCAAATACTCGAACCCTCGGCAGATCAGGCCCGGGGGAGCCATCACTGGTCACACAACACAGCCTGACTCACTGTGCTGTTGTGAATCACATTTCTATTTCTTTTCTTCTTTCCTTCTCTTTCTCCACAGCATATGGTGATCCATCCAACTAGCAAATCAATAATCTCATCTGGTGTCAATAGCCACGAGATGGAAGCCTATTCAGTAAACCCGAATTGCATTGTGCCACACATTGTTAAAACCTGCACAAATTACGTGTCCCCACACCAAAAAAAAAAAACCTTGCTAGACTACCAAAGGAGTACATGTACATGTATTTTATTGCGTGCACCATGGGCAATAAGATGACAGTATCGGGGGAAGGTTAAGGATTCAAGGCAGTTTGTCCAGGATGTATGGTAAAAGTATATTTCCAGAGGACATGTTCGAAAACAACAAAATGAAACGTACAAAAGAACAAAGTGACAATGTTCCAAAAAGAAATTCACACAATGCTTTTAGAAAATTACACGCATATTTCTTCAATTTGATAACACATTAATTTATAATAATAAATTATTCATAAATATTGTGCAGCTTTCATTTCAAATATGTTCAAATGCGTATTGCAATTAGTGTTACTCTCCTGTGACACAAATTCACATTTCAGTTTTCATTTGGACAAACGTTTTCACATGAGATATTTACATGTATTATTGTCTAGCTTTATTCGGCTTATTCTTTGAGGACTCCCTACTACATGTACCTAGAACATGTAGAAGACACCAAACTGCAAGCTTCAAGAGCCCATGTAATGGTGTACTCCTTTAAAATGCCCACTGTATTAAAAAACAGAATCGCTGAGGTTCGTGTCTTGAACACAAAACAGCTTCCACCAAGACCCAGTTGTCTATATGTTTGGCATACTGCAAATTGCTGGAAGTGTTTTTGTTTTCACTGTAAAGGTCAGTCAGGGAGCGGGGAAGGATTTTTGCTGCCATGCAGTGTGATATTAAATGGCCACACGATTTAATAACAGCAGGGAACTCTATTATGGAAATATGGGCCGGGTTAATCAGCTCCCACTAACGGGCTGAATTGGATTATGTTGGATTTACAAGAGAAAGAAACATACTCACAAGTCTCTAATTTCATACCGTGGAAGTTTTTACATACAGAGGAAGGTTAAGGAATATACTTTACACTTGGTCAGTTAACAATTATATCTGGATGGCTTCATTACCGATATCAAAGTACATGCACTACATTTATTCCAATGGGCACTCAGGAAAAATAGCTGGGCATTAATTACGTGTATTTGCACTACGGCTGAAAATCAGCAATTATTCACTTTTTTCATTCCAGTACAGTCTACATCTTGGGGCTTAACTGCATGTATTTTTCCAAAAACTGGAACTCATTTTGTGACATTAATGTATCCAAAGAAACTGTGATTACGACTTAACACCCGAAGCAGCAACAATGTACATGCACACATACACTAAATGTTGAGCACTTTGCCACAATGTGATATAAATTGCCCTTCTAAGAGCTCAGTGCCATGCCACTGTGTACATGTACGGAGTACCCTTCATGTACATGTACAGTACCTTGTCCAGCAGGCCTGTGGACATGAGCAATGTATGCACAGTGTATTTGTGGCCAT